AAGCTAATAACTGAAAATTTAATGCAAAAAGATAAATTATTCCACTGTAAACATCTTTTTTGTTGTCAGGCTCAAGTGATTAATAAATTCACAAAAATAGAAAGGAGCAAGGAAGAGTCATTGTCTAATCTCGATAAATAATGAATTATTTACCTATTAATGGAATTCGATAAACATTTTAAAAACATTCAATAAAACAACTAGTGTTATTGTTAAAGGAATTTAAATGGTTCCTAAGGTTCTGGTTGCCAGGACATGATTATGGGTGTTAACGAGTTATGATTAAAATATAAAATTTTGTTAGGAAGATATTTGACGACAACATCACGACAAATGATTATTGAATATATCGAAACATTTAATGTGTACATTCTATTAGTGATTTATCGTTTTATTAGAATAATATACTAGAATATCACAATATTTAGTAATGGATTTGACTGGTTGAGGGGATGGATACCTAAACTAAAGCGAATGAACTCGTTGATGTGTGTGTGTGTAGAAGGTTCTAGAAGGATAAGTGTATAAAAGGAAATAGGCATGAGATTCTGGAGCTTTTTCGGCGAGTGACATCAACGGGGGCGGAACTCTGGTGGTCGGTCAGTGTGTGTTCAAGTAGAAGTAGAACAAGGGCGAAGCGCTGGAGGAAGAGCTGGTTTAACAGGTTTGGGTTCAGGGCTTCCGCTCTGGACCACAAGTAAGTGCTATTAGGAAACGTAGTTTTAACAAATTTTATATTTTTCTGACATAAATATGAAAGTAATATCCGATACGTGCTTAGTAAATAATATAATCTTGAAAATACAACGATTCACAGTAATTCAAAATAGTATGTATGAATGATGGATGACGAATTTTGGAGTATCCTTAAAATTGATAGGAAAACCCTACAGCGGTATATTATTGCAGATAAATTATGATAAGGAGTTATAATCAAGTAGGGTTTTTGTGTGTGTTTTATCATTAATTACTTTATAATTATGTCTTTCAGATGTTTTACATTATACTATCTATTTATATACATAACATACTACTCAAATAACACATAACTAACCTGACATAAAAAAATATAACCACTTGAATTATTCTAGTCAGTTTCATAATTCTAACTTTCAATATCAATTTCTATCGGTCCAGATTGGAATGAGAATTCTTATGAGTTTCACTTTTTTCTTATTTGGACTCTTTAGAGTCTGTTCATACTTATTTTTATTACTAGGTTTTCGTAGTTTTCAAAGAAGTCACAATATTGGGTTGTTCCAATCATTCGTTAATATCGTAGGTGTTGTCCGCTATTTGAATGTATGGTTCGGTGAGATACCAGTATCAATGACCCCCTATCCTATACTGGGTCAGGATGGTGATCACCGCCAGTATCGGAAGTGTGAGAGATAGCTCGGTTGATTGCTTGTGCCATTCGTTCAGTGGAGGGCAAATAATCCTGTTATATTGACAAATAATTATAGGGCTTCGCTTTATTGTGTCGTTCTGATGTGGTAGCTAATGTTCCTAGGCGTGTGTTCCATATTGGTGAGGTCCTGTGCGATATCGTGTTAGTTGTCTCCTTATCCCGTACTGGAGTGGTCGAAATGGCGCATTCCCCGTGGTACCGGTGGACGATCGCTAATGCTATGTCAAACTATGTTCCATTGTCTTTATGGAGGACATCAGTCTGGGTATATTAACGAACCATATAGGGTTTTCTTTTGCTCTTTTGCAGAGCACTTCTTTTTTTTTTGAGGTGTAGTTTTATTTTCTGGTTAGAAAGGTATTCCTTGCTGGACCGGTTAGTTAATAATGGTTAAGGGGCCGTGTGGTGGGCCCTGGGCTTTGAGCGTGGTTGGGGCTCGAAAGCACTTTAAACATCAGCAATGCTGTATTTATTTTCTTTTATTTACATATTTCTTGGCATTGTTGTTGTTTACTAACCTCATTTCCTTTACTACCTAACAGACTTATTCTATAACTTTCATTCAAATATTTTAGCTTAATTTAGTAAACAAACATTTCTTATATTTTATTTGTTTACCAAAGAACAAACATTTACTTTTATTACTTTATACACAACTATATTTTATCACCTTATAGTGTTATTTTAATTTATTAGTTTAAGATCTAATCTTCTCCATGCCCTCAAAAACATCTACTCTAACCACTCACAATCACCTTCATACAAAGAATCTAAGGTTACTACAAATATAATACACAACGAGGAGTCCTACCACTAGACGATCACAACTTTATAATTATGGCCAAATAATTAATTAATATTTATTTTATTGAAGATTTATTTTAAATTAAATTCTTTATAGACTTTTAACTTATTTATTTTTATTTAGTGTGAAAGGGGGTGTTGTTACAACCTGCAAGACGATTTTGAACGTGTTTTTATCTTGCTATGAGCACTGATATTGGTAACCAGTAAAATAAGAGGAGTACTTACAGTTTGTAGTGATTCGAAGTGCAACGACACTGCTGATAATCGCTCACAAAAATGATTCGTTGCGCGTGACATTGGAATTGGTAAAATAAACCAAATATTAACACAAGTCAATACCAGTTTTGCCGATATTGATTATATTTGACCGTACCAATTTCTGTGTCTTCTTTCTGAGAATCTGGATAGCAACAAGTAGATAGTAAAGTTCTTGTTATTTTCCGGTAACATATATACCACAAATACCGATAAACTAGAAAAAAATGTCGAGAAAATAAACATATTCTCCTTTCCTAGGACTTTCACTATAATAATAATAATAAACATTTATACCAGAAATATATTTTCAAAGATTGTTAGTATAGCATATTTTTCACAGATCTGTACCAATTTACTTGTTGCTCCGACAGATGGGCCAAACAACACTATATCATTCACGTAACTTATATTATCGATACATACTCTGTCTATATGACAACTGATGTTGGTGTTACTCAACTCACCAATCTAGCCGTTCATGTACAGATTGAAGAGTTTATGTGAGCTCAACTCTCCCTGCCTGACTCCGCACCCCAACCTATACCCATCAGAAAACACACCAGCCGCATAATCACAGGAAGTAATCACAGGAATACTATAATTCCTGTGATTACTATCATCACCAGCCCTTTTACGTCCCCATTGCAGGGGCTCAGGCCTTCCTTATAGATGGTTAAAGAGGATCGGCCATGACCCTCCACGCTGGCCCAATGCGGATTGCAGGGTATTAACGACTGCAAATGCAACCGAGGCCAACGGTTTAACGTGCCTTCTGAAGCACGGAGTAGCTCGAGATAATAATTTTTTGGTTACCATCCTGTGACCGACCCTTGCGAAAGTTGCTTAACGACTACGATCGCGGGCCGTGGCGCTTATACCAAAGTGAACACTATACCAAAATTTAAACTATTGGGACCATAACCATGTAGATAAGTTTATCCGGTAGGTAGCTGTGACTTATGTTTAAGTTAAGATTGAAAAACATCGATAGAACCCTTGGCAAATGTTTCCCAGCGTACTTCAGATGTTCAATACTGTGGGAGTCGTAACGAGACGACTTTCCTTTGATCATTTTGTTTATGGCCGATGCTACTTACTTTACGGTAAATCGAAACGATGGGCCTTTAACCTTAACGATAGACTCCGCGCCAACTCGTTTCTCCGTAAAGTGGGTACGGAGGTTCCACTCTGAAATGAAACCAGAACACACTCATTATATTTTTGGGCTGATGTTCACCAGCAACACAATAAAGGAATGCTCGATCTATCATACATTCTGTTTGTTTTTTTTTTTCAAAATTTGATGAAATGATGAATTTTTTATCAACGTGATTTTTAGCAATTATATCCGTTTTTATTTGGTGTTCAATATCTTAGTTTTTCCTTGAAAATTCTTATAGAATCACATATTTTACTATACAAGTATCCCGAATGAGGCTTATTATACATTAATCACCATTTATACCAAATCCGAACCTGCCCATGCTCGCTACTTACATGCTTATTCCAACCTATTATTCCAACTAAAATATGTTTTTTTAATTTTTTTTTTCTATCTTTCTTAATTTTAATTGATTTTTGCCAGCATTCAGCAGGCAGTCCCAGGTTACATAATACCATTAAAAAATTTTGTCTCATAAATTTCTATTTTCAATAATTACATAAGCTACCAGCACATTTACAGAATTGTTCAGGAAAATTTATCTGTTTAAGTTTGGTACTACGATAATTAATATATTTTCGAATTCGTATTTAACTTCTTTATTCCAAACTATTTTAATCAAAGAAGGAACTCGCTCATTGTTTTTACCTGTTATTAATGCAATATTACATTCTATAATCAACGGATAATGTTCCGAATAATAAACATCATATAAGGTTTCATATGCTCGCACTCAGTACGGTTAACCTTGCCGCGTTTGTTACCACACAGTGATCAAGCTAGCGGCGACAATCGTGTGCCTCACTCATAAAATTGTCTTTCAAAAAATATGGAACATATGCTTTGGAATAAAAACTTTATAAATATTATATTCTTTCTTGGTCCTTATGTTCATTTTTTAAAAAGTAACCGTAATATTAGTTTTGCTTTCAATTTAATTTATAATATCACAAAACACCAACCAAACGTTGTATCCTTTACATTGTAGGTATATAACGGTACTTTAATATCCGCCTTAAAGTTACTACTTGAGGCAACTGTGGCAATTCCTCTCTGACCAATTGATAAAAAGCTTTATTTTTTTGAGTTTAGTTTTTGTTTGTTTCTTTTTTTTCCAAACTCACGAACGCAAATAAGGTATTGTAAATTTGTAACTGACCTTGAATCATTTTATCTTTTAATTATTACTAATATGACATAATGGATAATTACGTAGGTATCATCAATAAAACCAGTCTTTCGTTTCACGAATCCTTCGGATTACAATCGCTTTTATTAGAAAGGAATAAGAGTTATGCCAAGAGAACTCTTTCGTGAAACAGTTCTATATCAAGTTAATCAGCGTCAAAGAGCACAGTAATAATGTCAGTGTTCGTCCGGTAAATTGGCGCGCAGTCGCGTCGTTCGCGCTCTCATAAATATTTTGTTAATAAAGTACGATGCGTCATATATTTAAAAGTGTAATTTTATTAACTGCACTAATATGTTATTCGGGTTCACTCAAAATTCTCGGTATATTCCCGTATCACGGTAAAAGCCATTTTATAGTAGCAAGAGTATTTCTACTGGAGTTAGCACGTAGAGGGCACGACATAACAGTAATTTCTTACTACCCAGAGAAAGATGCTCCACAAAACTATCATGACATAGAATTGGAGAGAAAAACAGTAGCAACAGAAGATAATCTGCCAATAGAAAATCTGAGTTACTGGTCCGTCATACAAACTAGTCTATATTTAACTACGATGGGAAAAGAAAACTGTGAGGTACTCTTAGCAGACAAACGAGTGCAGAATTTGATAAAACAAAAGCCGAAGTTTGATGTTGTGTTAGTGGAACAATTCAATTCCGATTGTGCTTTAGGTCTAGCTTACAAATTGGAGGCTCCAGTTGTCGGTGTGACTACTCATATTCTGATGCCGTGGCATTACAGAAGATATGGAATTTCTTACAACCCATCGTATATGACCTTTCATTTTCTGGAAGGTGGTACAAAACCAACACTGTATCAAAGAATAGAAAGGGTGATATTCGACGCTTACATTAGAATGGTTTACTATTTAATTTCTCAAAGACCAAACCAAAATGCTCTTGCGGAGTACTTTGACGATATTCCTCCCTTAGAAGACTTAGCTCGGGAGATCAAGTTTTTGCTTATAAGTCAACACTTCACTTTGACTGGTTCCAGCTTGTTACCGGCTAATGTTATCGAAGTAGGTGGCTATCATGTCGCCAATGCTAAACCACTGAGTGGGGTAAGTGAATTCGGTAACTACATAAATGAAATCTTTCACTTGTTTCTGTAAATTTTTGAATTTAAATAAGAGAATAAGTAACAGTTAATTTCTATATACAGTCAACAACATATTAGGTAATACAAATCTGTCAAATTTCCCCAGTCGATTTTAAACTCTAATATATAATTGATGATAGAGATCAAAACGATCGCAGAAATTTGACATATCATGGTAAATTGACGTGCAGCCATGTGTACAGTATTTGACTCTTATATCAATAATATTTTTTTTATATTTAAAAACAGTCACTACATAATGTACACAATAGGTTGTGTAATCATAACAAACTAAGTAATGGCATGTAATTTGAATACCGTTGGCCATGACTCTTTGGTCATCTTTGGCTCAAAGAATAGAAACCGGTTGACTATAAATTGCCAGTAAAAACTTCTATATAATTAATTTATATGTATATTGATCTCGCTTTATTTACACGAAATAGGTAAACGGAAACCGACAAATAATATAAGTACAATAATATGAATACTTCTATATATGCTCTCAAACATCTTAAACGAAGTACGGACATACGTACAGCATTAGCAGCATATAATGTGTACGCACATTCGATACTTTCCTATGGTATTATCGTATAGGGAAACTTCTGTAGGTAGGGGCTTTGTATTGCAAAAAAATGCATACAATGCATAAAACCAATATAGACCAAATGGAATCATGTAGACAATACTTGGTTGAACATCACATACTAACTCTAATATCTATCTGCATTCTTGAAAGTAAATTTGTCAGGAAGCATCCGGATTTCTATTCCCCGCAAATAAACAACAAACGGAACAATAGAAATTTAAATAAACTATTCTCTAAAATGCATTAAGTTCCATCCAGCCCCCATTCAATGTTAATAAAAATATACTATAACCATATAGCAAATCGCATAAAAAATTTAGAAAATCCTACACAATTTAATTCAAAATTAATAAATGTCACTATAATATAAAAGAATTTTTTGAAGACCAATGTGACGAGCAAATTTTAATTTAATTTATTTTTGTTATTGTTATTATCGTCTTTCATTAAGAATATTTATTTTGACATAATTTTATCTTATGGAATTTAATTTAATTTTAATGCAATAAATAACAACATTATAAAATGTTTTCATTTTAAATTAATGTTAATATTATATTTACACTTTAATAAAGCTCTCCTCTACTTATTGCAATGCCCTTGTAGGGCATCACGTGTATACCTAAAAGTGGCGTAGCTACTAAGGGGCTAGGTGGGGCAGTGCCCCGGGGCCCTCCAGCTCAGGGGGCCCTCGAATCTTTACCAGAAAATCTCAATCGAACTCAACTGTTGATAATTTCTCCCATCTTCAAAATAAAAATGACAGGTGACAACTCGAGTTTAATCATGGAAATTCAGTTGTGAGTAATTCCAAAGTTATAATTAGGTACCCTCCTTTGCGTCGCGCAGTCGGGTAAAAAGGGAATTCTCGTAAATTATTTGTGTGGCTTGAGAGTGTTATTAATGTTTTCATCAATTTGTTGGATATCAATATCTGCATATTATTATTCATCGATATGCGTTTTTGTGATTCGCGATTGTGAACTTCGAGTCAAGATTTTTTTTCGAGAATGGTAAAAAGTTATTGTATCAGGACCAGGAGTAAGTAAGCGTATGTCAATCAATTTTTTGTATTGGTCCATACAAAAGTTCAATTTTATTTGATTGTAGTCCGTCAAACCGTCAAATGTGGTAACACTGGCGGCGATAAAGTGTTTGCCGGGGATTCCCCAACGACGCCTTGTATCGTATAATTTTCATTCATTCACGTTTCGCTTTCCTTTTACTTGTAACGTTGTCAGTGAACAGTGAGTACCTACTTGAGTACAATCTTACATAAATATTGCATAAATAAATTAGAAAACTAATATTATGTACAAAAAAAAAGATTCCCGGTGGTGCATTTAAACGCAAACAACGCCAAGAAAGAGGAGAAAGTAAACAAAAATTGCCCAAAATTGACAAGTTTTTTAGTCAGCCTTCTGCAAGTACTTCTGGATCAAATATTTCTATTGATAATTTTTGTAAATAGCTTGCATGGCGATAGGTTAAATAACAGTAAGCTGGTGCAACGTATCTATGATTAAATAAATATATAATAAACCCTTGAATATTTTCTATTTCGTTTTATTGCCCAATACCTACACCAAGTATAAAAATAATTGTAATTTATGTTGTTAGTGTTTAATAGTTTTATTACCTGCCCATGCACGAAAAAGAGCTGATGATAAAGTTGTTTAGCAATTTAAAGTATTTGTATATTTAATGATTTTACTTCAAAAACCTTACCAGTTTTGATAGAAGTGGGCCACAATTTTTTTATTTGCCCCAGGGCCCTAGATTACCTAGCTACGCCACTGCCTAAAACTAAATTATATCTTATTTTTTTATAATGCGACACGCATCAAATATTTTGATTTGATTAGATGTATGCTTGATGAATGTTAGATTTCGTAAATAAATAGGAATTAAAATAACGTTACCTAAATGAATTTAAGATGATTGTCTTACTTAGGGCGAAGATAACAAATAGCAAATATACCTATAAAATGACAAATTTCATTCCTGGAGTAGAACTAAGGTACATAAGGCTGCCAAGCTTGCTCCATTAGTTACCTAATAAAACTAATATACCATATTCCCTTAAAACAAAATGTTGTACCTAATGAATTTCTGGCATCGTCCCGTAGCTGATGCATATTTCCACAGCATCGTGTATGATATTGATAAAAAAATAAAGACTTCTTATCAAAGTTTCGAGATAAAAATATTTATTTTCATGTAATATCTCCTAACATCATAAAATTATTTCGATAGGTAATGTTGTCGGTTACGTCTGGCATGACTTGTCTAACAAGATAAGCTGATAAGCAATAATGCGTAAACCAACAAAAGTTGCATTCAAAGATTTTAATGTATTCTGACAATACCTTACATACATACTCAACATATAAGCAAGCGAGACGACATAAATATAAATTATTAAGACATTCTAAGACACCATTTTCTCAAAATGTTGTCTGTGTGGGTTTAAACATTATTTATTATTTATCAGCATCCAACTATTTTCTTATAAAACATTCCGTATCTTTCTACGAGATTTTTACAATTTTTGTAACCGCAATATTAGTATTTCTTTCGTTATAATTTAAAATATCACAAACCGTTGTATCCTTTACCACATTGTAGGTATATAACGGTACTTTAATATCTGCCTTAAAGTTACTACTTGAGGCAACTGTGGCAATTCCTCTCTGACCAATGAATAAAAAGCTTTATTTTTTTGAGATTAGTTTTTTTCTTTTTTTTCCAAACTCACCACAGAACACGGAAAACGTCTTTCTGTGTTCTGTGAAACTCACGAACGCAAATAAGGTATTGTAAATTTGTAACTTACCTTGAAACTTTTTATTTTTTAATTATTACGAATCTGATATAATGTATAGACTACAGATAATTACGTATCATCAATTCAACCAGTCTTTGGTTTCACGAATCCCTCGGATTATAATCGCTTAAAAAGGAATAAGAGTTATGCCAAGAAAATCTTTCGAGAAACAGTTATATATCAAGTTAAGATAATCAGCATGAAAAAGTACAGTAATAATGTCAGTGTTCGTCCGGTAAATTGGCGCGCAGTCGCGTCGTTCGCGCTCTCATATATATTTTTTTGATAAAGTACGATGCGTCATATATTAAAAAGTGTAATTTTATTTACCTCACTAATATGTTATTCGAGTTCGCTCAAAATTCTCGGTATATTCCCGTTTCAAGGTAAAAGCCATTTTATAATAGCAAGAGTATTTCTACTGGAGTTAGCACGTAGAGGGCACGACATAACAGTAATTTCTTACTACCCAGAGAAAAATGCTCCACAAAACTATCATGACATAGAATTGGAGAAAAAAACAGTACCAACAGAAGATACTCTGCCAATAAAAAATCTGAGTTACTGGTCCGTCATACAGACTAGTCTTTATTTAACTACGATGGGAAAAGAAAACTGTGAGGTACTCTTAGCAGACAAACGAGTGCAGAATTTGATAAAACAAAAACCAAAGTTTGATGTTGTGTTAGTGGAACAATTCAATTCCGATTGTGCTTTAGGTCTAGCTTACAAATTGGAGGCTCCAGTTGTCGGTGTGACTAATCATATTCTGATGCCGTGGCATTACAGAAGATATGGCATTTCTTACAACCCATCGTATATGACCTTTCATTTTCTGGAAGGTGGTACAAAGCCAACACTGTATCAAAGAATAGAAAGGGTGATATTCGACGTTTACATCAGAATGGTTTACTATTTAATTTCTCAAAGACCAAACCAAAATTCTCTTGCGGAGTACTTTGACGATATTCCTCCCTTAGAAAACTTAGCTCGGGAGATCAAGTTTTTGCTTATAAGTCAACACTTCACATTGACTGGTTCATGTTTATTACCGGCTAATGTTATCGAAGTAGGTGGCTATCATGTCGCCAATGCTAAACCACTGAGTGGGGTAAGTGAATTCGGTAACTATATCTATAAATAATATCTTTCACTTGTTTGTGTAAATTTTTGAATTTAAATATGAGAATAAGTATATATTTACTAGGCATAGGCATAGAAAAATGTCTAGGGAGAAAAAAAAAGTATTTTACGATTGTAGAAATTAAAATAAATAATATAAATTTTATTATTATATTATCACATGCACTTATTCATGCACGACGTCTATGTAGTTTATGCAAGACGAGGAGATGATAAACTTTATAAAAAAATCAGATAAAGGATATTTACATAAATATACGATATTACAGTTCAATAGGGATGATGACTGGATAAAAAAACGCAATTCTATTTAGTCCGTCAGTCAGATAATAGAAAAATATTAGATATGTATTTTTTTTACTTCAATTTAACAAGAAATAGCTTAGATAACGGGCATTAAAGTGGGGGCTCCCTACGTCACAGTTGAGTAGAAAACGTACCCGAACGTGACGTCATGCGAAATTTCAACGTCTTTTTAATTTTTTTCGTAATTTAATGATTACGAAAAAAAATAAAAATACGTGTTTAATATTTTTTAACACTCTACCTGACGGACAAACAAACAAAAATTAGTCATCATTCCTATGATTTTACGGTTTAGCCGCACACAGCGCACGGTCAGCTGTTAAGTTCAATGCGCTCAATAAATATGTAAATTATTATTATTATCAGCATATTTGAACTTAACACACAATACCTACTTTAGAACTAAATATACGTTATTAATTAAGTATCGATCTAACTGTAACACTAGTAACATCAAATAAACTTATAAATCTGAACTGTGAATTTACTTAAGATACTTCGCTAGCTTCACTTCACTTCACAATTAAAACTACAACTTATATAATTAAATTTTATGGTGTACTGTGTAAGCGTGGTCAACTAAGCGCTGCATCTATTTTTAAGATATTGAATTGAAAGACCTTGGTTAATAGTTAGAAAAGTGACTAGTGTGATTTAACTTTATCATAAATTATTAATAAAAGAATTTTCAGAAGAAAAAAACTGCATTTGAAGATGGGTAAACGAAAAACACTTTTGTATTTAAGTCACACGAAATATGACGTATTGTAAAAATTAATTTCCATATACAGTCAATAACATATTAGGTAATACAAATTTGTCAAATTTCCCCAGTCCATTTTAAACCCTAATAAATAATTGATGATAGAGATAAAAATCCATCGCAATAATTTGACATATTATGGTAAATTGGTCTGCAGCCGTGTGTACAGTATTTGACTCTTATATTCCTAATAGTTTCTCGATATTTAAACAGTCACGACATAATAACACAATTGGTTGTGTAATCATAACAAACTAAGTAATGGCATGTAATTTGAATACTATTGGCCATGACTCTTTGGTCATCTTTGGCTCAAAGAATAGAAACCGGTTGACTATGAATTGCCAATAAAAACTTCTATATAATTAATTTATATATTGATATCTCGTTTTATTTACACGAAATAGGTACATGGAAACCGACAAATAATACAAATACAATAATGTGAAATCCATGCTTTGAGAATGTTAGGTTTCGTACATGAATAGGAATTAAAATAACGTTACCTAAATGAATTTAAGATGATTGTCTTACTTAGGGCGAAGGTAACAAATAGAAAATATACCTTTTAAATGACAAATTTCATTCCTAGGGTAGAACTAAGGTACATAAGGCTGCCAGGCTTGCTCCAGTAGTTACTTTATAAGACATTAGTCTTATTAGGTAACTACTGGAGCAAGCCTGGCATACCAGATTCCCTTAAAACAATTTTTTTGTACCTAATGAATTTCTTGAGCATCGCCGCGTAGCTGCTGCACATTTCCACGGCATGATATATTATATTGATAATAAAATAAAGATTTCTTATCAAAGTTTCGAAATAAAAATATTTATTTTCATGTAATATCTCCTAATATCATAAAATTATTTCGGTAATTAATGTTATCGTCTACGTCTGGCATGACTTGACTAACAAGATAAACTAATTGATAAGCAATAATACTTTAACCATTAAAAGTTGCTTTCAGAGATTTTGACGAGACGACATAAGTATGGAAAAAACATGTTTTTTATGATAAAACAAATTATTAAGACGTCCTAAGACACCATTTTCTCAAAATGTTGTCTGTGTGGCTTTGAACATTATTTATCAACGTTCAACTATTTTCTTATAAAACATTCCGTATCTTACTACAGGATTTTTGCAATTGTTTCCTTTGTTACTATTACTTAATATGTTATGTAGTCACTTGCGCTCTTCCATTAAAAATGTGGTTAGAGTTCCTTTTACTTTTCCCGTATATATTCTGTTTAACATTTTTCGTAATGTCTCGAATGCTTTTAAGATAACTGAATTGTTATTACTATATAACCTATTTTACAGGATATTAAAAAGTTTGTCGAAGAAGCGGATGCTGGAGTGATATACATAAGTTTTGGCTCAACCTTCAAGGTATCGACAATGGAGAAACACAAAATGGAAGCCGTATTAGAGGTGATTGCGGAACTTCCGTATAGATTCATCTGGAGATGGGACGACGTCACAAAAGACAAATCACCGTATACAGAATTACGTAGCGACCTCAGATCATTATTAACGAACAAAAAGAAATTATATATATCTACATGGCTTCCTCAAGTCGACATCTTAGGTGAGTTTATGATTTTGTACCTTTTTTATTAACGCAGGTAAAATTGCGCCTTATGCCTCATATTGGAGTTCTCCAGAGCGGTTCCGTTAAAATCCAAACCCGAATTGGAATTCACTCAGGTTTCCGAATTCACTTTGAAAGCGACATCCGGTTAACCTTGAAGTGGTATTAAAGTTCCGTGGCAAAAGTGAAGTGAGTTTCGAAATGACATAGAGGTAGAATATCTAAGAAATGTAGGAACCTTTTTTTGTATTTTTATACGAAAAATATAATCAATAGAATTTCGACACTAATAAAAGTTAAGATGATTCACTTTCTACGTGAATTTGGTCACCTGAGTGAATTCGAATTCGGCTTTTTAAGGAATCGCTCTGCTGCCCCGAGCAGCGAGATCAAAGCATGGCTGACCCGACTGATAAGTTTCCTCATTAGCAGGAAGGATCTGGAAACCTGCAAAGACAGCACCGGAGTCAATCCCACTTCGGAACGCCATCGAAGTTCCCCTTCTTATGATTTTGTACATGGAGGTTATATTTCTTCAATTTTCTTCTTATAGTAGCTGCATCAGTAACATAACAAACCATAAGGTAATAATAAGAAAAAATATTTTTCAGGGCATCCAAAAACAATGGCATTTTTCTCTCATGCCGGCATGGGTGGCACTTCGGAGGCAATACATTTCGGAGTACCCGTAGTAGCAATGCCTATACTTGGAGACCAACCTGCTAACGCTGCTTCCATAGAAGAGAGTGGCTTGGGAGTCCAAATCTCCGTCAGTAATCTGAATAAGGAGAATTTACTTGCCGCTATAAAGAAGGTTTTGGAACCTGGGTGAGATAAAACTTTTACTGTAATTTCATCTAGGGCCACGTAGTGGTCCACCAAGACGAACGAAACAAAAAAGCGTAAGGGCACTAAAGATGCGATCTCAGAATGCCGGGAACGGGGTGGATTTATTAAGCATTTTGTATAGAAAATAATATATATTTAATTCATTTTTTGATTTTAATCGATAGGGTACCTACTCTAGCAACTACAAAAAGAAGAGATGACTCTTTTTTAAGAGTCTGGCTGATTAATTAAAATATTTTGTGATTCATGTCACACACCTCCGTAGCCGAGCGGTTCGCACGCCGGTTTCAAGGTGTCGCCATCTCTGAGGTCCCAGGTTCGATTCCCGGTCGGGTCAATGTAGAAAATGAACTTTTCTATATTGACTCGGGTCTGGGTGTTGTGATACCTTCGTTGTCTCAGATACTCCATAATACGGGGGCTTTAGCTACTCATCTTGGAATCTGAGCAATGTATGTGATGTTGTTAAATATTTATTTATTTAAAATCTTTAAAATAAGGCAAGTTACATGAAAATACACATTGTTTCAATGTGAAAACGAATTTCATATTTCAATAGGCAGTTTCATTGAGGCAGGATTGGCAATGATCTTAGAAAATCCCTTTTTGACAAGACTTAACAGCATTTTTCTACATTAATTTGCACAGAACTATTAAATAGTTCATAATACATTTCTCTTTCTTACACTTACAGATTCCGAGAAAGAGTGAAACAGTTGAATAGAGCTTGGCACGACCGTCCTATGTCATCTTTAGACACGGCGGTCTACTGGACAGAGTATGCAGCTCGCAATTCCAACTTCACCTTCAGGTCACTAGCAGCCGACGTTCCTTTATACCAATTCTACCATATAGATGTTGCTTTTGTATTTATATCTATATTTGGAATAGTAATAACAGCATGTAAATTATTGTTTTGTCGACCTAAAACGCAATCAATTAAGAAAAAGAGAAATTAGTAAAATAAAAATCTAATAGTATTTTTTTTCTGTCACCATCTTTCGTTAATAATAATTATACCTGCCTAGGTAAGTAGGTCTGGTAGGTACTATAAGAGTTTTAGTTTAGCTGGTCCGTGTGCATATTTACCGAAACGTAACCTCTAACGTGACGGTGTGGGAGGAGCGGAAAGACTTTTTGTAAATTTGGTAATACATAATTGTGAATTTTATGTTTTATATTTAATTTAATAGTTCATTGATATCGTAGAGGTGTTATTTTGGATACTTGCCTAAATATCTAAAATCAGACTGATTGCTGATAGCTTAATACTCTCTTCATTATATTTAATCAATTTTGAATCCACAATGCAATTTTTCATTAATCATAGTAATACTCTCTGTTATTCGAAATTACACTTAGGTACTTAGTTAGTTACCATGTTATATACCTACTCATTATTTTATTTAAAAATATTGATATTTATTTATTTTATTTATTTTTATTTATTTAAAAGAAACACCAACAGTGCACATACTAAACTAAGTCTCAAATTGAACATAAATATAAAAATTCTGGTACGTACACCAATTATAGGTGTTTACAACGCTTACAAAATATTTAGGACTTACGTCTGATTCTTATAGATTAAAATTAGTTAAATTAATTAAATTACAAAACAGAGAAAAACACAGAAACAAGGGAACTTTATAAACCCATTAAAAGATAACAAAGAAATATAGGTCTAAGAGGTCTTAAGTGTTTCTGATACAGTCTTTACAAAATGTTTATATGTATTATTAAAAATATCCAGATATTGTTTAAAATATCCAGATATTGATAATGTTATAATTACAGTATTAAACAAGATTGAGTGTTTTATTTAACAAAAGTTTTCGTAGCCAAACTGTCATAATTACCTGTCATGATTAACCTAAGTGTAACTGCAAAAAAATGAAGAATACCTAGTTCTTCGTTTTTTTGCAGTTACACTTAGGTTAATCAGCTAAAGATAGATTTTTATATCTATGTGGATAGGAGAAACTTTAATAACATCAATATCTCCTATATAAATTTAATTTTAACCGGCTAATATTAAGTTTTCGCGATCGCCTTGGACAGGTTTTATTCTAGCAATAAGCTAATATTAACGCAAAAAAAAATGTAAACACATAGCCAGGTTCTTCCACTAAGTATCAATAGTTTTTTACCGACTTCAAAATCGAAAAGGAGGTAGTTATATGTATATATGTTCGACGGCGATATCTTTTTTTCATTGACAACCCGATTAACGCAATGTTTCAGAGCGCCGGTTGAGACTCATGGGTCGAGGGTTCGATTCCCGGACTGGGACAAATTTATGTTGATTTTGTTTGTATTGTATTACATCGAGATGTATTCGAACATTGTTTTTACACAAGGTGTTACTTAACGGTAAAATGGCCTTTTTTTGAGCTACACTATCACTCAAAGGGAAAAAAATTGTGTCATTGAGTAACAGTGTTACTAATCGGTAGTTTTTTTTTAAAATGGGTGACAGTGTTACACAAAATAGTGTGAACAAAGGATATTTTCGTCAATTGTTGATCGATTTTCAAAATATATTTTTATTCGACAGCTTGATAGTTCAAGGTAGACCCATTAACATTTTATCATAATCGAATAAGTAGTGTCATTTTATAACACAAAAGAATACGCTGTCCAACAGATATCACATAAATATTAAATGATATGTTATGACATGGCCCATTTCAGCCACCTTTCTTTTTTTTTATTAATGGCTTATATGCGCATTTCGCACAATTCAGCCAATGTCAAGTGAATAAATTAATTTTTACATGTAAAATGAAAATGAAGTGAATGAAAGATGGCGATGACCATTTTATTTTTCCATTTCAGGTAAAAAATTAAAATTTCCATATTTAGAATTCAAAATTAAAAAGATTTTTTTTATGTTCAACGAGTACCTATTTATAGTTTACTCTTTGATGTATATTTTTTTTGAAAGTTTTTCTAAGAGTAGGTGGTATCAATTGAGAACCAACGTCTATCAAACTATCTGTTTCCACGCGACTTCGCCTGCGTAAATATCCTATTTTCGCCGCGTATTAAGTAGCTTCACGTAGATCCAATGCAAACAAACGAGCAATGAAATCTTTCTTCTTTAAAATATGAATATAGACTGGAAAAATTTATGTCGAGTAAATATCTCAAAAAAAGCATGAAATATAAACTTTTCATAAAAAGTAGAACTGATCTCAAACTTAAAAAAAGTGATAAATAATACTTATCTATCTTAAACATAATAGGCACCCGGCTTAAATAACATTTTCTTAATAAGCTTTTAAGATAAATATTTTTTATTACTTTTTTAAACCTTGAAGTCGGTTCTACCTTTTATGAAGTTTTCCTAAAAAATAGGTATTGCTACACAAGACTCCGCAAACGTTTTGATATATAAATTTAGGGTGCACCCTTATATAATGTAGATAAGAACCTATTTTCAGACGTACTGAAATACATATGAAAACATCAAAATCAGTCAAGCCATTTCGGAAGAGTATGGTAGGTAATTAAAACTGTGCCGCGAGTAAAAAACCATCGCAAATCGCTACGAGTTTTTGATAAATCCTTTATCCATGATAAACCTCTATTGTCAGGTTTAAATAAGAGAAAGGAAAAAAATGTTCCATTAACAAAAAAGTTTCGAGTTTTTTTATTATAGTTTACGTCAATATCATAGAGAATTTATTTGTTCACAATGACTTTGTAAGATTTCAAACAAAATATCACAGTCATGTAATTTCCAAAACTTTACCGAATCACAAATTAACATCTATTATTAACTAACTAACATAATTTCAATATGTTTCATCCGTTAAGATACTCGTAATTACGAAAATGTGATGGGGTAACAGACTCCAATCTGATTCCAGCAAGGTAAGCTAAATTCTTCGGTTTCTACCTGATTACCCGATAGATATTTTTCAAATGCAGCCTTAGTAATATGAGGGTAGCTGAAAACTCCTTGTTCAGCTTTGAAATTTTTGAACAGGAGAGACTAGGTTATTAAGTAATAAATCTCTACTTATCTAAACGGCTTAAATAAATGCTGCTAGAGTTAACATTAATGATTTGACGGCTTAACGGCATTTAAATAACGTTTATTTTCGTTTGAATTTTTGTAATTTACTAAGTCAATGTCATTATTCAACTCCAGAATTATTAGATACAATATAGTTACTTAAAGAAATATAGCCTGTACTGCATTAGTATGAAATTGCTATTAGAAATACTAATAAAAGTCAGTGCTCCATATATTTTCAGATCCACTGAAGAATATACCAAATAAAAATTGCAATATGGCATGCTGCTGCAAGCCTGGACAAGGTATAACAACCCACGTTGTTGAATTATATATTTTTTTACTATTTGATATTAAATATTAGTAAATTCAAAAGAACAGTTCTGGGTGTGTCGATTATTCCATGTGATGGGTGATAATTTTAAATTATTGCAATTGACAACTATTGCGATAAAAGCATTAAAAAACAGTTTAGTTATGATCACATGGTCTGACAAGTACAGCAATGTTGAGAAACTTAAAAAAAATCGCGGAAAATGCAACAAAAAAAAATGTTAATATTTAGATTTGAAAATTGAAACACCCATATGTCAATTTTCTCTAATGCGCCCATACGATATCTCACTCTCGAACCGAGAAAGTGACAACTGGATGTAGACAATGTTTCTCGAGTTTGTCATGCTATGCGTGCTGGTGTGAGACTAATGCACCCACCCTACTTCAAACTCTTTCTTGCTTCAGAAGGCAAGTTAGTCCGGCCGATATCTGCAGTAATGTCCAAAAACTGCATTCGCACCAAACGATCCAACAAACCACGTTTCAGGACGTGGATCATGTATCCTCGTGGATAATGGTCCAACAAAACGCTTCTGTTCTATCATTTCGTGCTCCTGCAGCTTGGGATCGGGGCGAGTTGGATTGTTTAGTGTAATGTTGCTAATTAACCATACATTACGTTATAACCTGTTATCACTTTATGATTCCTATATATGCTTTAAGGAAAAGATTAGTCCCAGCAGTGGGAACGTTGTTACTGATGATGATTATTAAAAAATAATAAGTGTCGGAATATATTTCCGTTTAATTCAGATATATTTACTTGCTACAATATAATAATACGGCTAATGTAGGTACCTAGAATAGGATAAATTTTCAAGATCAAACTGATTCAAGTAGCGCACCAATGGGCAATCCACGCGCCAGAATACCCAGACTGAATCGTAAATTGAGGCATTATATAGTACCGATCATAAATTTTAATCATACTGTTCATCATTGCCGGCATCGTTACCCCACTGCTCTGTCTTATAACTGCCTCCCTGATTGTTCTGACAAAACGAAGCCGCGAATCTGTTAGAATAACAGATCATATTGCAGCATATCAATCAGGACTGAATTGTCTAGCCCTAGAACAAAGGTAAAGTTTGCGCAGCAAATAAAGATGCACAACATGTTATATTAATTGGGTTTTACTGCATTTGCATTTATTTGGTAGCTAACAAGTCTGCAGCAAGCTGCTTGGGGCGATGCGATTTGCCTAAACATCGATGTCTTGACAAGGAGGACGTGAAACCTGGACCGATCCCTAAGCATATGGGCTGGCTCTACACTGCAAAAGACGCACCTGAACATCAGGTCTGATATTTTTATCTTCAAACGTAAGGACACTTGCGAATTTGCTAACTTTTAGTGGCAATTGAACACAGTTATCGGCAGTTGCATCGTACTTTCAAATATCTCTGAGTACCTAACAGAAGTTTATTTTTTTACAGCTAAGATGTGGATGGCGTCCAGGTCACATATCATGTGATGTCCTCAGGAAAATAGAGCAACACAACTGCATGAAATCTGGAGAATGCTCTACTTGTTCTACGACTTGTGCGCGTCCATCCTGCTACAAGTCATGTTGCAGCCCTCCCCCAAAATGCCTAGCTGTTTGCCCTGAACCTCCATGCAAGGCTCCACCTTGTAACCAACCTCTGATACGGATCGTGAGACATGGAGGACAATACAGCATTTGCACGAAACCCTCTGACATCAGCAACGCTCCTTCTGGACCATACCCATTAAAATACGTTCTCAACACTGATGAAACAGACTCACAGCCAAATGCAAAATTCAGCTTAGAGGCGAAATTTAATGATTACCATTTCGACTACACCAGCTCCCAAGATTCATTTGTTTTAGATTTCTCACCCCCCGAGCAAAAATGCTACAAACCCTGTCCGAAGAAAAGTATTGTATGCATGTTCTGCCAGACAGAGAGTAAATTCTGTTGTATTGGCAGCAAATGTTGAGTTCGAAGATTCTGAATAATCAATATTTGACAATTATTTTAAACTTCCCAATTTCCTTAAATGCAATAAAATAATAATGATAACAAATGAAGTATTTTTTTTCAAATATTAGAATTTAAACTCATACAGTGCTACTTATAAACAAGGTTTAGCCCCAGAGTAAATTTACGCTAAAATTGCAATTTCAGTATTAGTCCAGATTCATATTACACAGAGAATAAGCAAATCTACTACCTTCTAGCAGCAAATATAACTCCCGTAGAACCTTTTACTAGGTAAACCTTTGCTAAGTCTCTGTTTAATAATATGATTTTTGACTAATACGAAAAGCAGTCTCAGCGTAAATTTATTCCATCGCTAAACCTTGTTTATAAGTAATACTGATAATTTTGAGATCAATTTTTATACTTGTACTTGTACTTGATTAAAAAATGCATATGATATAATGACAATATCTCTAAATGAAACTGTAAAATCATTTGGAGACAAATGTTAACTATAAATTGCTTCCTACGTAATAAACATGATGTTCTATGGGACAATGCATAGTGACAGAGAAATTGTGTATATTAGTATGTGATCAATGTTAGTATAGAAAGGGCAAGCCTTAGCAGGGTAAGTAGTTTTTGAAAAACAAAATGTAGTTAGTAAACATAATTTATTTGTCAACACTAAGGAAAACTAACATAATAAATATAAATACAATTTGTATTAAACAAAACACTTAACTTGTATTACCAGACTTTTGTGCTAGTGCAAGCATATTTTCATTGGCAATCATTTGGAATTCATGAAAACGTTGTGAAACTCGTTGATTCATTCTCAAATATTTCTCCATACAATTCAAAGTGCATTTATCCTGTAACCAGAGAAGCACAGTTTATATATGGTTATATTTCTGTGTTATGTCTGTTTTCTAGATGCAATCACATTTTTTTTATTTTTTTTATTTATATTTAGTTCAAAATATAAGTTTGACAATTATTGTAATGTATGAATGTAGGCCATGATAAAATCTAGCTATCTTTATTTGTGACACAAATGATATTTTATCTATTTATAATGGTTTTCCTAGATCATTAAGAATATTAATGAAATTATAAACTATTCATAAGACAGAATTATTGTAATAAACAATCACTACTATTTCGAATTATTAGTTGATTGTAAACAATATACAGTATAGCCTTGATATCTAAATACTCAAATTTCTCGCTGTTTAGATTAATTAAACAATGAGAGTATTATAACAATATTACTGCCCAGTTAACTGAGAATCGGAATAAAATAGATATTCAATTGATATGTGACAAATTATAGAAAAGTAATAACATCTCAAAATCATCAAATTAAGGTTTTTCTCGCACTGGTAACTATAACACCATGAGATTGTGTCTTGTTACCATTCTTAAGAATTTTTATGGTGACACACACAAATATGTATAATTAGGTGACTTCCATAAAAAATACAGAGGCAGTGATGGAAACATCAATTTGCTATTGATGTTTCCATCACTGCCCCCGTATTTTTTGAAAATTTATTGAAGACACTATATCAAGCACACATCTATGACATCACCACAAGGATTATTGAGTATACAGTGCATACATGCATATAGTTGCACAAACTTAGCTGTATTGACCACATAATGCTTGTTAATAATGGCAATAAATACTGACAACAAAAATACTTACTTCAGTGGGCCTCAAAGTCCTTGATGTGAAATCATGTACACAATCATTAAAGCACATTTCTGAGAGTTTGTTGTACTGTACAAGAAAATCTTTGAACTGAAAACAAACAGTAGTATTATTCAATAGGTAAGCTTAATTTTGAGAGATAGGAATAGATTTATCACCATTTTTTGTTTTTTGAACTACGAAATAGTGTCGAAACAGCCCAAAACTTGATGATAGATAATCATAACTTTTAAGCATTTCTAATGTTTTATGCTTAGAATATATAATGGTTTTATGTTTATTATCAGGGCAAAAGTTGTGAATGCTATCATACAAAAAGAGTAATTACGGTTTTGATTTGGTCAGCTTCACTCATTTCAGGACCACCACTCATTTTTATTAGCTGGATATGTAGTTCTGGCTAATTTTCAGTTTTACATACAAAATTTGTTACTATTCATACGATTCAGAAACAAAACCTTCAATAATAAAGTTTTTCGGGCACCAACGACTTAGATTTTTTGTTTAATATTTTCAGAGAATAATTTTTTAAGGTTATAAATTTTACCATAGACAAAAAGTTTCTTTTAAAACAAAGGGATCTTAGTTCTTGTGGCTATTAAATATACAATTTTACAAAATTAAATTACAATGAGGATTCATACTATTCATTAGCAAAACATCTTTGATGAACAATACTACTAAATAATCCCATACTATTTAGTTTATTGTTTGCTTATTTGCCCTTGATTAGAATGGCACTCAAACAGCTGAAGAACAACAAGGCACCGGGGGATGACGGAATCACTACTGAACTTTTGCGAGCGGGTGGAAAACCGGTACTCTTAGTCCTCCAGAAATTGTTCAATTCCGTCATTCTCGAGGGTGCGACGCCAGAAGCGTGGCACAGAAGCGTGGTTGTGCTCTTCTTCAAAAAAGGTGACAAGACCCTGTTGAAGAATTATAGACCAATCTCGCTTCTGAGCCACGTTTATAAGCTGTTTTCGAGGGTCATTACGAATCGTCTCGAACGCCGGTTTGATGACTTCCAGCCTCCCGAACAAGCCGGTTTCCGAAAAGGCTTTAGCACCATAGACCACATACATACGCTGCGGCAGATTATACAGAAGACCGAGGAGTATAATTTGCCACTTTGCTTAGCGTTTGTGGACTATGAGAAAGCCTTCGATTCAATCGAAACCTGGGCAGTACTGCAGTCCCTCCAACGATGCCAAATCGACTACAGGTACGTCGAAGTGTTGAAGCGTTTGTATAGCAACGCCACAATGTCGATTCGCTACCAGGAAGAGAGCACGAAACCAATCCAATTGCGCAGAGGCGTGAGACAGGGAGATGTCATTTCTCCGAAACTGTTCACGAATGCATTGGAGGACGTCTTCAAGCTCTTGGAATGGGACGAATACGGCATCAACATCAATGGCGAATACATCACTCACCTTCGTTTCGCCGATGATATAGTCATCTTGGCAAGATCGATGGAGCACATCAGTACAATGCTCAGCGACCTGAGTATCGTTTCCAATCAGGTGGGTCTTAAAATGAACATGAACAAGACGAAAATCATGTCGAATGTCCATGTTGCACCCGTACCGGTGGTCATTGGAACTGATACTCTCGAAGTTGTCGATCACTACGTGTACCTTGGACAGACAATCCAGTTAGGTAGATCCAATTTCGACAAAGAGGTCGCTCGAAGAATCCAACTCGGCTGGGCAGCGTTCGGGAAGCTACGCGATATCTTCACGTCCAAATTACCACAGTGCCTAAAGACGAAGGTGTATAACCAGTGTGTGTTGCCAGTGATGACCTATGGCACTGAAACGTGGTCCTTAACTGCTGGCCTCTTAGAGAAGCTCAGAGTCGCTCAGCGAGGCATGGAGAGAGCTATGTTAGGGGTTTCTTTGCGCGATAGGATCCGAAACGTGGATATTCGCCAAAGAACTAGAGTGACCGACATAGCTCGCAAAGTTTGTAAGCTGAAGTGGCAGTGGGCAGGCCACATCGCTCGACGAACCGATAACCGATGGGGACGAAAGGTTCTCGAGTGGAGACCACGAACCGGAAGACGCAGCGTGGGTCGACCCCCGACTAGATGGACGGACGACATCGTCCGAGTCGCGGGCGACCGCTGGATGCAGCTGGCGCAATGTCGTCCGTCGTGGAGTTCAAAGGGGGAGGCCTATGTTCAGCAGTGGACGTCTTCCGGCTGATGATGATGATGATGATGATGATGTTCCGGTGGCAGTCGGCGGTGGGCGACCAATAGACATTGCAGCCGAGGAGCGTATTCTCGATGTGATCCAACGCAACCCCCGTTTGGGCACGAGGACTGCTGCGAAGTTACTGCAGCGGCCAAATGGGCCCTCAGTTTTGCATTGGACGGTGTACAAAGTTTTGCGATGAAACAGAATGCGGCCTTACAAAATTCATAAAGTGCAAGCTTTGATACCCGAAGACCTACCCCGTCGTCGCACTTTCTGCCGTTGGTTGTTGGATCAACAACAGCATCTTCCAGGATTTATTCAGCATGTTATCTGGACAGATGAATCTACATTCACAAGGAATGGCATGTGGAATAGACGAAATTCACATTTATAGTCTGAAACCAATCCACGTGCCACTCAAGAGACTGGCCACCAAACCCGATGGTCGGTCAACGTTTGGGCTGGCGTCTTCAACAATGTTATCTTTGGGCCGGTGTTTCTACCACAACGACTTGACGGAGCTGGGTATCTTAGGTTCATTAATGAGAGCCTTGATGAAATTCTTGAAGGCATATCATTAGCTGAGCTAAGAAGGGCTTGGTTTCAACACGATGGCGCACCGCCGCATGTGGTACGGCCGGTACGTGAGCGTCTCACTGAACTATTTGGTGACCGTTGGATCGGGCGATTTGGACCGCAAGCCTGGCCACCACGATCTCCTGATTTGACACCTTTGGACTTTTTTTTGTGGGGGTGTGTTAAAGAAAAAGTGTTCAATAGAGTTTGTGACAGTGCTGAGGAAATGCGGGCAAGAATTGTGAGTGCATTCGAGACAATAAGAACGAGTTGTATCGAGGACTCAAATCTCATGCCTCGACTTCACGAAGAGACGCGGCGACGGGCTCGAATTTGTGTTGAGATGAATGGGGCACAATTCGAGCCACACTTAGTTAGACCGCGGAGAACATGAACAGGTAAGTACGTTTTTGCATTAAAATAAAAATCATGATGTTAAGTTTAACTGGTTAAATTAATCGTTACTTATAATAAAATTAAAGGTTATTGTAATAAATTACTTTACGTAGTACGTAGTACTTACGATCGTCTCTGTGTGTGTTTGTGAGAGCTCGTTTATGCATGTGTGCAACTATCAAAAGCGCTCGCGCCGCGCGGTCGTTCATCCGTGTATTTGTACGTTTTACATTGCGTGCTTAGAAAATACGATTTCGTTAAATACTTATTATTCAAGTAAACAAATATTTTTGTAGGACTCCATTAATATGGTATAATAACCATGTTAAAGATTCGGAAGCGTTTTCCTAACACCTTGTATACCACCAGTTCAAAATTTGGGACTCTTTTCTAAGAACCGTTGAAACAAACTCCGATAAGAAAGTATTTACTCTTTATAATTTTAATATTTACAGAAAGAACTAACTGTTACTTTAGGTTTTGCGGTGTGTGATCTGGGTTGATATTTTATTTGAATAATTATTGGATCTGAAGTCGATGGTGCGATATTCCAACCTTCATCTCTATTAAAAAGTAATAATATTCAATCACCAATTTTAGTAACTTTTAGGGAACGCATCTTTCTCTAAAAATAGTTTTATTGTAGTAAATAGATACTTAAAACACATATAAAACACTGGGTGACACAAATCTATATGTTCATGCACTCTGCTTTGTAATGTATTTAAAAAAAAAACATAAGTTTTCAAAATCTAACTAGATGTCGCTACGGTACGTTCTTGATATCTCCATGACAACCCTTCCGGTTTTCTTTCATGTTTAAAAGTAAATTAGTTTTCAAAACTCAATAAAACCCATATTCTATTTGTATTTTATCGTATTTGTGTTGATATCTAAATTTCGAAGTTCACAAATTTAATATGTTAGTTAAACGGAACGGAAATGACTGTCTTTGGTCAATACGTTACCTGCAAAAATCAGCTTTTGCTAGAGTCGCCATCTAGTGGAGGTGCTTTTTTAATGCTTTCTTTTTTTAAAATACTTCCTCATTATAGAAAAATAACTCTGATCCTCACTGATTGTGAGTCTGAGTCCGAGTCATTAATAAAAAACGCTGTAGAAATAGAAATGTAGACACAGTTTCCTATTTCATGCGATTTTTTTCACAAACCTGTCGTTTTTAATGGGATGAGAAACACGAGAATCATTTAGGAACTCCATTGAATAAAAAGCAATATATTTTTTAGAATCGGCTGAAAGGCTTAGATCACTTAACACTTTGTGTTAGAAAAAGAAACAGTTTTTTTCTTTGCTGTTAGTCTAACACAGTCTAACTTGGTCTAACTGACATAAGTCTGTGACATTGACACATTTTGCCAAGCTAAACAAGCTGTCTAGCTCGTTAGTTAATGTTCATTTATTTTCCATTAAAAAATGAACGAAAATGATGAAGATTTAACCACCTTTTGTGATTCTGCTGTAAGTAAAATTTATTGTTTGCGAAAACTAAAACTTTTAGCCTTAAAAAATAAGTTAAAATTATATTTTCAGACCGCATTAGTTGAAGGATGTCGCTTGCCTGTTCGTATGCAAGGAGGAGAGGACTGGCCTTTAGCTGAGATTATTAGTATCAAAGAGCACCATGGTCAGCGGGGTTATTATGTCCATTATGTTGATTGTAAGTACTGTATGCAGAATTATTATCAAATTTGATGAAAACAATACTCAATGACTGCTTGAGACAATCCATCTCATCATCTATTTCCTTTCTCTTCCGTTGACTTTTAAATAAAAAACAAATACTCAAATTTTGTATTTTTAAAATCTATATTGTTGGATATTTTTAATATCGACTGTGAACTGGCAAATTGTGTTATCTCAATTTTGACAACTTTTCAGGAAGTAGAAAAAACGTAATTATTAATAGTTTTGGAGTGATTTATCCAAAATAAAAAAACAGTTGGTTTAATATATGTTTTCTATTAGAAATTAAAGACATTTTTTTTATTTATTAATCATTTTAATTAGAAAATCGAGTTATGACATTATGAATCAGCTGTAAGTCCCACTTAGGATATTTTAAACGATGCAAAAGGTCCGAAGTTATAAAAAGAAAATCAATATTCAAGATGGGATAATTTTCACTTTCAGTTATTTGTATTATTACATATTAAATTATAATAATAGCAAAAATCAACATGAACTTTGGTAAGATTAAAGAATCGTTACTATTATTAGCCTTGGCAGGGTAAATTATCATAAAAATAATGGCAATCCTTAGGTATGACAGACTTTAGTTCTTGCAGATGTAACCACTTAGTTTTGGATATACAACATCGTGCTGTAAATAATGGTGGATACGATTGTACGGCATCAAATTGTTTTGGTCTTTGTGGTAAATCTTTTAGTTCCTCAGAAAAGTCTAGTTTTACTTTAATTATTCCCGAAGGATGATAGCTTATCACTTTTATGTCGGTTACTGTTGGATCATGTTTCATTCGACCAGGTCTAATAGAATTATATCGTAAAGGCTTTGTATAGTCTCGAAAAAAGTCGTAAGTAAGGTCTATGGCTTCGTATGGTGTTGGCTTTTCACGTGCTTCTCTAGTAATAGACACGTAGTCACTGGGGAGTTTGATTTCTTTCTTTTTTAATTTTCTCTCGATGCATGCATGAACAGAATCCACCTCCATCTGGGTATGACCGACCTCAAGATATTTTTGATATATCAAAACTCCGTGAAGCATACTAAAATTTAGCAGAGCATTTGCCATCACATTATTTCTTTTTTGAGCAGTGCACCCATCAGAAAATATTATGATAGGTTTTTTTTCTGCAGTTATGCATTTTTTTTTCAGATAATAAATCAAACATGAGACAAATGTAGATGCTACTAATTGATTGTTTTGGTCTTCGGAGAACCAGTAACAAGTTGATTGTTTTTTTACGATATCATATATTGTAAAGTTATGGCAGGCTAGTTTTGTTTTGTAGTAGAAAGCATTAGCATGAGTTAATGGCGCTAGTTTAACTGCCTGGAAGTCTACTTCTATTAATATTATTTCTCCTCTATTAGCTTTTTCTATATCTTCCTGTTTTTCCTTTCTAGCTTTTTCTTTCTTCTCTATGTGTTCTTTCCAAGACTCTTCCTGTAAATTTCCGGCTTCATAGCAAGCACATAAATTGCATTTATCTTTTTTGACGTTAAACAAGGAAATATTTTTGCTGCTCATAACTTCGCTGAACTTTTTGCGACTAAAACTTGGTTGTCCGGTTTCATTACATTTAACTAAATAAAGTTTATAAACATCTTTAATAGTCTGAAGAACAGGTTCCAGGTACAGTTTTGATGAATTTTGTCTATTGTAATGAGATGGCATTTTTGGTAAACTATCCAAAAAGTTACTTAAAAAATCTTCCTGTGACCTCACCACATTATTAACGGAAGTATCTTTGATTTTTATTGTAGCTGGAATTCCATGAGAGCTATCGTTTACCCACGATTGGACCATTCTGTAGCCGATTCCTAAAGTATTTAGGAACATATCTCGACAAACTTGATAATTTTGTTGCCCATTATTCAAATTATAAATTAACGTAAAATTACGCCTCGAGTCACCATCGGTTGTGTTTGTTTTTTTTGCAATCTTAGTCACGTATCCACAAACAAATGCTTTGCGCTCTCCCCAAGTTAGGCCCCAAAATCGTTGGTATATTGATTCTCTCTGTTCTTGGGTGAAATATTGGCAATTTCGTTTCTTTGAGTTAGCACAAACAGTACTCATGCAAGTTGGTTTTATTTTACGTTCGTCCCTTGGTATATCCTGAATAACTGTAGACCCGGCTTTTCTGAATCCTAAGTACGCCTTCCCTTCCATACGTAATTTTTTGTTAATATTCCTCTTCCACTGGCTAGGGTCGGCTTTCTTTCGCCGTTTTCTTCCTTCATTCATGTTGTGATTATTGGGATCTATAAACTTATCGGATTCGTTTTTGAGAAGAGATGAAGACAGCGGGCGTTCATCATCATGAGTATTTGTTAGCGTGATTGGTTCCTGAGAATCGTTTGTTTTTTCTAAATAAATGATTTGTTCCCTTGAGCTTTCGGAGTTTGTATCGTGTGCGAACTCCAGTTGTATTGGTAAAACTTCTTGTTCTGAAGAAGGCACACAACGTGGAATTATATGATCTGTAGAGGGAAGATGTTCTTCTTCCATATTAAATGAATTTAGAGAAACATAATCCGTAAAGCAAGAATCTTCAGTCAACACTATAACAGGGAGTGTTTGTTGTACCTCGGGAATACATTTCTGATAGTCGTTAATGTTCTGTGAACAAAAAAGTATTATCTGCATAATATTAAATTTTCATGAGAAATAGATACTTATCATCATTAATTCAAGTCTTATTAAGTAGTGCAAGTTTACCTCTTTCGCTGATATGTTTTCGTTTCTTTCATTATTTCCGTTAGCATCATGTACCGCTTGCACTAAACGTCTACCTCTAGACAACTTATAGTCCTGTATTAAATAATATATATTAATAATTGTGTTTCAAACAATATAAAAAGATATAAAATAAAAATTTTATGGACACTAAAAACAAAAAGCACTATCTTGCTTCAATTTTTAAACCGACACCTACATTAGGTACATACAAACTCTAATTCATTTTGTCCTATCTTATTATTCAAATTATTAACGTCTAATTATTTTATAACTACAATGAAATCCCATTAAATACTTACCATTTTTAATCCTGGATAACATTAATAATAAGTTGAAATAACATAAAACACAGAACACTAGTAAATATTACTATTATACCCTTTTTTATTAAGAGCGGCTGAAGATCGTGTTCATGTCGGTACCAATTTAACGAGATAGTACAAATTACTCGCATTTAAAGCGGAAGCGCTGTTAGTATTGGTTGAATTAATTAGATTTTGCCGGTAAATTTAAATTATTTAGTAGATATTATATTATGAGACGGTAAAAGATATGAAATAGTATGAAATGCCATAAAAAAGTTTTATACCTCAAATTTTAAGATAGGACATATTGCCGGTTCACAGTCGATAAGTTATTTTTATATGTTACAGTTAACAAGAGACTTGACGAGTGGGTTGGTGAATCATGGTTGGACACTCGAAAGGTTCAATTTCCTCGGAGGGATGGTGCTACTACTGCAGGGACCACCACTCCTAAGAAGACACACATTGGATCAGGAGGTGGCATGATGCCTAATTTTATTAGTATGTGTGTTTATGTTTATTAGTTGTGTAGTTTTTTAAACTCAACTACAGCAGAATTTTGATATGGTGGTAACACAGTATAGTATTTATTTTTTAACTTTTAACAAATAATAAATGTATAGATTATTTTTTGTTAAATGTTTGACTCGAATGATAAAATATTGTTCTGAGTCACTGGTCATTATTAATCAATTTCATGTTAATGTGTTTGTATATTATGAGAATGAATTCAAAGTTATACTGGCCTAAAATCTTACAATTGATTGTTGCTAAGTATTTCCTTAAGTAATTAAGTAATATTCAAATTTTTTTATATAGTTCCTTAAATGTTTTATTTTGTAGACCTAAAATGTTTTCATACTTCTAGATTATGTAAATCAAAATTTTGTTGGTGGTTAGTTGTAAGCATGGTTGATTTATCTTCTTTTATAGATCTTTATTTTAATGCATGGTGGTGTGAGGATTTACTGTAAAAAAATATTAGGTCATTTTATTTTTTACTTCAACAAATTGACTACTGTTATTGTGCGAATGCAAAGTGAAGATGAGACATTATTAAAATATGCTATGGTATTGATATTACAGATATCAGAGTTTGAAAAAGGAATGTTTAGAAAAGATTCATGTGAACTTTGCCTTTAAAAAAAAACATACAGTTGTCTACACACCAATATAAAAATCTTAAACACAGTGTTTTGTCTGCAGATGATAGTGTCTGCAATGAGAATCAGAAGTCAATTAGCAATAACATTAGACCTACTCCTGTGAACCATCAGCCTCCACAAAAGTTACCCGAAAAAGCTCACTTTAGCAATGCACTCAATGGTTCCACACAAAAGAATGCACATGGTATGTTCCAGTTTTATATAAATATTGCCCAATTGATAATATAAACAGTTTTAACAATGGGATATTGAATGTTCCCGATTTGCAATATGAATATTTTGTTTTTACATATTTGTGAAGAATTTAAATGTTTGCAGCTTTTTTTTATTAAATTTACTTACTACTTTTCCACAAAAGACTTGTGGAAATGTCAATTTTTCAATTGGTAATAAAAATTAGCTGTACATATTTTTAACCAGGCAAATATTATAACTTTGTATTGTGTTATAATTAATGTGGTTTGTTTGTTCCATATGTGATTTTTTATTAACAGCTATAATTTCCTAGATAGTCGTTACAGTTTCTGGCCAAAGCTATCTAGTTAACCTTATATCTTTTTAAAAATGGTCATGTGTTTTGTCTATATTGTTTTATATTTATAACAGGGATATTTAATTGTTCCTAATGTTAATATGACCTATGAAGATCGGTAATTATAACACAATATGCCCAAGTAGCACAAAACACCATTATAACAAACTTATAATAGCACGAGTCCAAGCGTTAAGCATTATAATAAAATCGTATATCAACCGTATTTCTTTTAAACGACTCTTATACGTAAAATTTGGGCCCCCCCTTTGTACGACTTTAAGCTTTATAAAAGCTGTGCAATAGCACTACAACTTTTGTATAATAGCATTAATAAAGTCGGGTAAAAGCATTCTAATAGCCACAAAAAGTTCAATTAGCACCTTAAAGTGTTAATTGAACTTTTTGTGACTATATTACAATTGATATGCGTAAATAAAATTATAATACGTTAATTTAATGTTATAAAAATGCTTACTGTTTTATTTCCTTTGTAAAAAAAGTATATTTAATAGATTTTAAAAATATATAATCGGTTTAAGTTATTGTTTTGTGTAAGTGTCATGGCATGTTCTTTTGGCTGGTCTTTTAAGTATTTTTTAATATTGATTTAAACAGCTCGTTATGTGTGACATAAGCTGCAAACATCAGTTTGTGGAGTAAAATATACAAGTTTATGGTATAAAATACACGCGCCTTCGCAAACTTCCTTTAATATAATAAAAATAATAGAAAATTTAACCTAGTAGCAAAAAATTTTGTTGAATTTTAGGCTTTTTAGCATTGTTTTAACAACATAATTGCTTTTATAGGTATCTGTGCACAAAATAAATGATTATTTACCCCTTTTCATCTGACAAAGTTGACTTTAAATATTTTGTAAGAATTGGAAAAAGAAAACAAATGGCGACTCGTAAAATTAAAGCATTAGGTATTCAAATATAGTGTAGTAGAGCTGTTAATCGTATTATGGTTAGACACAAAACTAAGAGCTCGTAATTCACCGTATAACACACTCCCATTTTAGGTACAGCCGTATTTTAACACTTCAGAAGTATCTTATAGTGCTTATAATCATCAAACGATTATTTCATTTTTATTTTGATTTTTAAAAGCTTCAATTAAATTAGAATACTCTTTTTTCAGTTTTCTTTTATATCCACCTGTTTTCTTTGTTTTTCCCAACGTTTTTTTTCCATGGCGCCAGCGATGCGTATAAAATGCCACCATTACAATACAATACATAAAATAATTTTACATTTTAATTTCACATAAAAAATAATTACTATCTATTTATTACTTGTACCTCTATAAATAACTTAATATTGATCAAAATATAGCCTAATGTTTTATAAAAGCATAGATTAAGAAGATAAAGGAGCTTGAGCTTGATTAAAGAATACTTTAAGAACAAATCGGTGCTAAAGTTTTACTAGTTCTTTATTCAATGTGTATATAGGATAAGCATTAAATCGATACAATCATAGACCATTAGAAAACCTTTGTTTCTAGAAAATGACTAAATACAACTAAGTGCACTAAATAATATTACGGTAATGCTTATATAATATATAATGTTTTTCATATCACCGAAATACGATAACAGCTTTATATGAATATTACCCAATACTTAAATAGGAGTTTTGACATTGGTATACTTTTTTTATTAACCATAATATGGCATTAAGCATTATTAGATAAAATAAATGCCTTTAAACAGATTCGAAACTTGACCAGTGCTGATTAAAAATGTTAGTATGACTTTAGGACATAAATCGGTACTTATTTTAGTTAATATATTATTTATGTGCTACTTGGGTGGATATACAGAACATATTAACAGCTATACTATTATATTAACAGCTATGCTTTCTTTTGCTTTATGTTTGTCTGTGTGTGTTTTTTACTATAGAACTTTTACAAAGTAACATGTTTTTATATTTATTAAATATATGTATTTACAATTACCTGTTTGTGATATTGAAATTTATTTCTGTCTAAAGAAGTGAAAATCAAATAACTCTTATTTTCTGGGTATTACTAACACAGTTAACATATTTCCTGATAAAGTTATTCTATAAGCAAATTATTATATGTGATTAATCTACATAATCAATAGATTACTGTGTAAAATGCTACATAGAATGTCTCTGCCCTGTAAACAACAGGTTGTTTTGAATGTATTAACTGAATATGAGACCAAAAATGTTATTGGAATTTTTGTGTTGAACAAATAAAATGAAACAACTGGACTTTATGAATTATTTAGTAGACATTTCTGTGTTGGTCAATAAATTAATTTATATAATTCTAAAATTTATATTAGTAAAAATCAAAAGCAGATTACCTAATTTTTATTTAATATAAATAGTTACTTTAATCTTTAAATTATTTGAATGTTTAAATAAATAAAAATCATTTCTATACAGTCCCGTTGCCTACACCAATGCCCCCAGTTATTGAGCCCAGACAGCTCATATCAAGACCGGCCAGTCCAACATTGGGCCATGACACCTCATCGCTAGTCAACGGAGGAGCTGTCTTAGCAGCCGCTCTACAAAAGAAGATTAACAGGAAAAGGAAGGCGAATTCTCTAGATAATGAGGTTGCTTATTTTGTAAACTCTATTGTAATGGTTTTTAATCTCTTAAATATTAGGGACTATTTTCTAACTTGTGATAGCAGCTCCAGACTAAGGAAGGGGGATCTCAAACTTCTTCCTATGTTACAAAAAGCAATGAATCCACTCGGTTTAGTATGCTGAACCTAAGTCTAGATAAAAGTATTTTATGTTATATGTATCTATTAATAAAATACCTATAAAACTTTTTTGTATAATTAACTATTTTTATATAAAAATAGTTAATTATACTATTTCATAAAATGGATAGTATTGGATGGATATATATACATGGATGCTGAGAATATTATCTTTGCAAATTGTTAAATTATGTGTACCCTCTTAAATCTATACTTATATCAGGAAAACGAAGATTTGGTTGTATATTTACATTCAATGGTTTCCAAAACTTCTGAATCAAGCTTTATATTTCTGACACCTACGGGAAGCTATATCACTGGTGACATACAGCCAGTTGTACAAATGTTTATTAAAATTTACATTATCACATTATCGATACAAATTTAGAACATTCATTAGAGCCTAAGCTCGTCATTAACCTTAATGCACTTTTGTACAACTGACCGATGACCACATAGGCTATAATTTATGCGGGAGAATAAATCTAATTCGAGTAAATTTGCAAATAACTTTTTAATTGCATGACTGATGTTCGACCTAGCTGTTTATGAATTTTAATAAAAAAATTAGGCATTTTCACAGCCCGATCCAATACCGGCTTTAGAGGCGGAGAGTGGGGATACACTACCAAGCGGTGCCGCAACGCCGACCGCTCGTCCGCGACAATCTGGTAGTCTTGTGGCACACGGCCACGACGATCTCGTCACTAGAATGAAGAACATAGAAATGATAGAACTCGGACGACACAGAATACGGCCGTGGTACTTCGCACCATACCCTCAAGTACGTATATGGTTAGAAAAAGAGAGAACAATGAATTATCATTGATGGGAGTGGCGTTGATAATTGCCGTGGCCTGAGATCGTTGTTATTAAGCAACTCTCGCAAGGTCATCCACGGGATGGGTGACCGAAAATTACTATCACGAGTTACTCCGTGCTTCGGAAGGCACATCCTAGCTGTGTTTGTAGTCGTAAATTCACTCCAATCTGCATTGCGCCAGAGTGGAGGGTCATGGCCCATCTTTAACAATCCATAAGGAAGACCAATCCTTAATAATCCAGAAGAAGATGATGATGATTAACATTAATGGTCGTATTTATAGAGATCTCGGTCTTGATCATAAAGAAAGATTATCAACCAGCAAAACACGAACACGCGAATTCGAATACGGATAAAGTAATAATTTTAAAATATTAACGGCCAGTATTGACCATAAACCATCCAAAGAGTAAACCTACCTATAATAATGTGCACTGACGTTACATTACTAAAAGGAAGATTAGTAGTTTATTTTTTTTTTCTTATTAAGTGTAAAAGAGATTATAATATTATTATATTTGATCAGTTTTGCATTCACAATGCCATACTGAAAAATATTCTTAATTAAAAATGCTTAAAAAAATACCATGTCGCTGGCACTCTGAGATGGGACTTGAATGAACTTTGGCAATTTCAGTGTAGTATTGTTTATAAATATATATCATTCAGTATATATAGTATTGTGGATAAAAATTGATCAAATATAATAATAAGAACAAACTTTTATCTTTTTTGAAAGTTTAAATATTTGTTAATAATATTACTTTCGGCTCTTTGGGTGGATTGTCTGAACATTGATGAAAATACGCTCTGTATTAGCGTAAAATTCGTCAGTCCTGATAGGTCCTGGGTGGCTCAGTGGGTAGAGCAGTCATCCGGATTGCGAAACATCTTGAGTTCGAGTCCCATGACAAAGTGAATTTTTTAAGCTTTTTTCATTAAGAGGTTATAAATATTTAGTTTTGTTTTTGTACAAACGCAGACTTAATGCGTTAACAATTGACCCATTGTGCATTTCTATTTGTTGTTAACTATATATTCTGTTTTTATTTTAATTGGTTATTGCGTTATCTAATCGGCTATTTTATTTACTTTTAGGAAATGGTTGGGCTACCCTGCATTTATATCTGTGAATTTTGTTTGAAGTACAGGAAAAGTAAAAAGTGTTTAGAACGTCATTTGGTAAGTTTTATTATGATACATATATTACTTACTTACTAATAATAAGTAACTACCTACAATCGACTCCTAAGGTATACTCTGTGGGACAATTGTGTAATTTTAAAATTGACCGTAATTGCCTTCATAAGTTTAATGATTGTTATAGCGATGTATGGATGTATCTTATAAAATCGCAATTGCTTGATAATTTGAATGAGTAAGAAATATAATATAAATTCATATCCTTTATCTGACATTCTTCAATGGCTTTCAACATGTAATGCTTGCCTGAAACATCTTACGAAAGACAAATTGAAAGGTATTGTGTTTGATTTTAAAATTAGAGAATTAGCTTACTGACCCTAGAGTAGACAAAAACATGGACAATTACACAAAGTATTACGTGAGCGTTAAATGGAAGAGATACGTATCGCTAGTCATAGAACTCTGTATCGTTTCCGAGGAGTAATGGGTTTTGATGTAGCTGACCCCAACATGTTTGTCTTTTCGCCCTGGGAATAAACTATAATAATACTTTTACTTTGAAATCTTATGTCTGTCCTATTAAATTTGTTATTAATATCACATTATTCCTATAGACGTAATGTACGTTATTCTATAATCACGCCCGACAATTTACATTGTAACTCGTATGCATAATCTAACAGGACGCCATTATAAAATGAAGTGAAAATCTATTTTTGCTTTTGCATAGAACGTAACTCTTGAATTTGAAGTTGTCATGGACATAGTACGTAACAGTCTCTGTCAAATTGTGCTCATTATCGTGATATAACATACGGTTGTACAATATTTTATTTTTATAGATCAAGTGCAAACTAAAACATCCGCCAGGCAACGAAATTTATAGGAAAGGAAGTATATCGTTCTTCGAAATTGACGGCCGAAAAAATAAATGTTACGCCCAAAACTTGTGCCTGCTAGCCAAACTGTTCTTAGATCATAAAACATTATATTACGATACGGACCCCTTCTTGTTTTACGTGATGACAGAATTTGACTCCAGAGGTAAGTTTAATGTAGACAACAACTTAGATATTGCTCAGGATATAAGCAGCTCCAATGAGGACATAATTAATCATCATCCTATCAATGTCCCCCCAGCAGTGGGGGGTCTTCCCTATTAATGAAATTCAATCGACTTGAAAAGGGAGAATGGGCTCTGACCTACCACGCGGGCTTAATGCGAATTAACGGCTTAACGTGCCTTCCGAAGCACGAAGGAGCTCGAGATATTAAATTTTTGGTCACCCATCCTATGACCAGTCATCGCGCAAGTTGCTTAGCTACCGTATCGCACACCGAGCGCACTAACCACTACATCGAGCTTCTCCATTGCACATTTTTATGGTAATCTGAAACAACGGAAGATACGACGACACCCAGACCCTAAACATATAGAAAACTTCATTAACAATACTGATTTTTTTCTTTATTAAATACTATTGCAGTTTTCATTTTGTTTGATCTATATCATAACTTCTGGTAATAATAGCACGGTCAGCGGGCAGAAACAATTTCGTATGTTGACCTTTGTGCCTAACGATAGATATCGTAAACATATTAGGTTCACTCTACTATGACCAAACTGGCTAGATGCATCTGTGCGAACGCAATAAATGTGTATGGTATTTAATATTCTTTTTTATATATATCTTCAATTTAGAGTTGACTTGGAATAAATCTAGTTATATGAATGTAATTTAAACATTTATATTATCTATTTATTCTATTAATCTATTATTTATTTGTGATTATTATTGTAATTCATTATACTGTCTAGAAACAAACTTATTTTATAATTTTTTTTTTTTTTGTTTTGCGCAATTGTGAATGTTCCGGGTTAAAACTGAAAATCAGTGCTTCGTTCATTGAGTAAATATCCGCTGAGTTTTCGCCCATTAGCATCTTGCGGTACCGTACTGGTAGTTTGTGTTGTGCCTTACTCCTATTTTTTATTTGTTTTATCTTTTTTTTATATATATAGTGTACTGATTTTTTTATATGAAATATACATGTGAGCCACATGATGATGCAAGTATTTTCTATCTATCTGATGCCGGGTCATTGTACGAAATTCTCTCTGTTCGACGACAGGGCTATAAGACGCTTATTACAAATGGAATAATGGATATAAAATGTTAAACTGTCGTTTTAGGTTTTCATGCGATTCTATACATATACATTATATAATTAGATATTAGTTCGTTCGTAGTGACATTTGCGCTTTCTGCTGTAAATGTAATTGTACCTACGTATATTTCCTTACATTGTTAGGTCGCCTGGCAGAATCAAGCTAGCAATCTTTGTAATATCTTGTTATTTTTGCGTTTATGCATATAATTATTGTAATGAAAGTTGTTACCTTTTATGTAACTATTTTAATGCCATATGTATTTTTTGTAATATAATTTCCCTATCTTTTTCAAGTTTCCAAATTAGGATAATAAAATTAATTTTGTTGACATATTTTCTGAACATATATTCAATACCTAAGTAGCTCGGTGGTGTAGTGGATAAGCGCCGCGGCGATCGTTGTCGTTAAGCAACTTTCGCAAGGGTCGGTCACGGGATGGGTGACCAAAAAATTATTATCTCGAGATACTCCGTGCTTCGGAAGGCACGTTAAGCCGTTGGTCCCGGCTGCATTTGCAGTCGTTAATACCCTCCAATCCGCATTGGGCCAGCGTGGAGGGTCATGGCCCATGCTCCTTAACCATCCATAGGGAAGGCCTGAGCTCCTGCAGTGGGGACGTAAAAGGGCTGATGATGATGATGATTCAATACCTGAATTTTGACTTGTAGTAAACATCCCAATTAAAGTCTGGCATTTTTGGTTATAATCTGGCACTGACTCTATTGTGTGACCCCCAAAATGGGATAGAAGCGAATCTATATTAAGTATTTTTTAAAGTATTTAAGGGCCATGTGAGGGCTTAAAATAATGAAAGAGGGCTTATTAGTGATTTTATTCAATGCTTGATATATTTTCAGGTTTTCACATAGTAGGATATTTTTCAAAGGAAAAAGAGAGCACCGAAGACTACAATGTAGCATGTATATTGACATTACCTCCATACCAAAGAAAAGGATATGGAAAATTGCTTATAGAATTTAGTAAGTATTTATTAATGGAATTGTGCTTACGAGTATATATCATAGAGTGTAATTTGAGGAGTACAATGCTGAAATCGTAGCCTTGACCATGAAAGTGGTCTACTTGTTATGTCAAGTTTCTTTGATATCTAATGACTGTTATAACTGTCTTTTGTAACGGAAGTTTAGATGCAAAATTATGACACATATCCAGACCCAATTACACAAACATCTAATAAAATTGACATAAGTTAAAAGTAATGTTACATATATATAACGGCGGGTAGTCCGAAGGGGCTATTGCGAAGCCCAAATAGATGGTCCGTATCGGAGGACTATCTTTAAAATAACACTGCAGGCGTGTATACCAACGTGGATTTGTTCCATTTTATCACTTTTCATACGAAAATATAACGAGATGAGCGTGATGTCATCGGATGTCTTTACTCCTCGGCGATCGAAAACAGAATGTGTGCCAAGATGGCGGCAACTTGGTTTTTATAAACGAACTGTCAAAGTCAGTGTCACCATTCTAATAAAATTAAAAGTATCGATGATCACGCTCTCTTTACAATCGAGTAATTAAGTAATAGAGTAACTAGCAATTAAAATAAAAGAAACTAAATCAAACGATCTTCGTAATGATGATGCGACATATATATATATATATATTTTTTTTAATTTAGAACATTCATTCAGACTTAAAATCCTCATTAAATCTTAATGAACGTTTGTGCAACAGGATTTCCGATGATATTTTAGGTATTGAATGTCAATATTATTGCAATGGAAAATAGACCTTGTGATTTCATAACTTTCAAATTAATGACAACTATAGGGTGATAAACAAGACTGACTCTACAACACATTTTGTACTCTAATATTAACATATTATTGTTTAAAATCAGTTAGCATAAATAACATGAAGAAATTAAAATTCGTTTATCAACCATTCGAATTTCGTTTCGATAATCGATATTTCGGCAACTAAAGAAAAAAAGATATGACATTATTATAATTGATCAATTTTGTATTTACAATGCTATTGCGTTCTGAGATGGGACTTAAACCCATGACCTTTCGTAATCCGGACGACTGCTCTACCCATTTGTAAAAATATTTCTTTCGGCTGATTGGGTGGATTGTTTGAACACTGATGAAAATATGTTCTGTAGTAGCGAAAACGTAAAAAGTACTTGAAAAATTCGTCAGTCTTGTTAGGTCCTGGGTAGCTTAGTGGTTAGGGTAGTTTTTCGGATTGCGAAAGGTCATGGGTTCGAGTCCCATCTCAGAGTGCTAGGAATAAAGTAGATTTTTTAAGCATTTTTCATTAAGAATAAGATATGACATTTTTGTTTTAAAAAACAAAAGTGAAAAATAAAACAAAAATTATAATTTTTCACGAGTCCAACGGAATAGAGATATAATGCTTTATTTTATTGTAAACATTTAATAATCATTAAAATATAAGGCAAATTGCATGAAGACACATCGTGGATCAATGTCAAACCAAATTCCATACTCCAATGGGCAATCTTCTTTGACAGTTTTGTGCAACCTGATGTTGGTTGGAATTTTTATTTTTCATATTAAATTGAATGATTTATTTTCAGGTTACGAATTATCAAAGTTCGAAGGTAAAACGGGATCACCTGAAAAGCCCCTATCAGATCTTGGATTACTCTCGTACAGAAGTTACTGGGCGCAAACAATACTAGATATACTTATGCACAGTAAACCTGTAGGAGATAATGAGAAACCAATCATCACTATCAAGTAAATATATACTATTATACTTTTGCGTAGTGGATAAGAGGTTAAGCAACTTTCGCAAGGGTCAGTCATGGGATGGGTGACCTAAAATACCCTCTAAATTGCATTGAGCTAAATTGCTTTATAGCCCGTCCTCCTTAACCATAAACAGTGCATAAAAAAGACTGATGATGTTAATACCCTTTTTATATTCCGATAATTCCAAGTAGAATATTCAAGCATGGCAATGAAATCGAAATCATCTACTTCTAAGAAAAAACTCCAATATGTGACTAATGGGATCCTATCCAAATACGTTAATTTTCAAGTTTTCAAGATAGAAAATAAAAACAAATTACTTCTGAAATTCAACTTGATTAGATTTTTTCTCGTAACGACATAAACACGTAAGACGCTGAAGGTATCCTAGGTTTGAGAATTTCATAATAAATTATAACTGTTTGTAAAGAATTCATTCAAACTAAATTGAATGCTTTATTTCATGTAATAAATCATCATTTTTTGTCTATTCGCTTCATCCATTTGCCCATTTGGTTACCAAATAAACGTAACATTTACATTGACCTCATTGAGTAGGTATAACAAGAAAAATAAGCGGTAACGTCCCTCGTTTAGAGAGAGAGAGAAAAGATCGCGCTACCCTACGGCTATAACTATACGGCTTCTCTACTGACGCATGCGCTTTAAAGAATCCGTCCAATCATTATCTATGCTCTATTTCCGACCTAACTACGCATGCGCGAGTATAAATACATAGGATACCACGTTATTCTCTCTCTTGCTAACAGAGTGATAGCTACTCTACTCTATCTATACTCTATGACGTTTATACTGTGTTTTCTTATTTACAGCGAAATTTGTGAACTGACCAGCATAAAGAAAGAAGATGTTATTAGCACATTACAAAACTTAAACTTAATTAATTATTATAAGGGCCAATATATAATATCTGTTAACCAGGTATGTTAATATTATTATTTTTTTGATATAGTAAAAAGTTTGTATTACTTACGTCGTAATTTATTATTCATATACCAGCCTAACAAAATATTATGTTATATTTATATAATTGTCAAATTGCTCCATTGAATAGGGATGATGACTAATTTTTGGTTGTTTGTCCGTCAGGTAGTGTTAAAAAATATTAAACATGTATTTTTTTATTTGTTTTGTAATCATAAAATTACGGCGTTACATGGAGATGAAATTTCGCATGACCTCACGTTAGGGTACGTTTTCTACTCAACTGTGACGTAGCGAGCCCCCACTCCTCAACTTTAATGCCTGTTATCTAAGCTATTTCTTGTTAAATTGAAGTAAAAAAAAAATACGTATCTAATATTTTCCTATTATCTGACTGACGGACTAAATAGAATTGCATTTTTTTTTTACCCAATCGTCATCCCTATTACGTCACTAAATCGTCGTTATAATTCAAAATTAAAATTCAGTTCGGGTGTAGGCAGTAAACGAAAATAAATACATTTTATTTTCTAGTAGTGTTTAATATACTATTACCAACAATCACACGTTTATACTCAATATATTTATAATAATGTTTAAATTAATTATGATAAAACAAACATATTGTACTCGTCACGTGACCGCAAACAGCGCGTCACGTCCTTCTTACTCGTATCAGAACTTAGAGAATTATACTTCTTATTGAATGATACTTCTTTTAATTTTTTAGATATATTCCTTATATTTAGATATATTTGAAAAATGTCTACATCCCTATTGTAGAAATGTATCATTCGTCATAAACAGGTGTACTGTTGAATTAAGTATATTGTTTGTACATGTTATATAATAAATAGATTAATATTATTACGCATTTAAATGAAAACCATTAAAATTATTTCTAATCTATACTCAGAGCTTTGGATGATATAATTTTTTTTAATGTAACCTTATGACGTTTGATGTGGGATTGACAGAATGCGTGCTGCAAATATTGAAATTTATTCGACAATACGGAACAACTTCTGTTGGGTCAGCTAGTTACTGATATAAGTTTAAATTGTGTCTATAAAAGGCAGTTTACCTTATATTTATTAATGTTTTATATCGCTTCTCCAGGAAACAATACAACAACACGATAAAGCAATGGAGAAACGTATGCTACGAATCGATCCTAAATGTTTACACTGGACGCCCAAAGATTGGTCGAAACGGGCCAAATGGTAAGTTTATTGCTAATATAATTTAAGTTCATTTTGCTAAAACACAGTGCTATGTGTTAGTTGGTGTTAATTTCCTAAAAATGCTTTTAATAACTAATGTGTTAATTAATGGGTTAAATATTAGGTTTATTGTTCGTATGGACAAAATAAAATGTTAGTTATTAAAATAATAAATGATTTCATATCGTGTTTTAAAAAATATCTGAGAACTTAACATTGATTAGTGCGCTGTTTGCTGAAATAATACTTTTTATTTTTGTTATTTTATCACATATTAATTAAAAGATACAGTCAACACGTCAGACTATACAAAACTGTCAAATTCCTCCCACTCGGTTTTAAACTTTAATATATTGAGGGTAGAAGGCAAAATCTAATGGCATATTGAGACTTATTGTGGTAGTCTGACATGTAGCCGTGTGTACTTTAAAATATGTACAACAAAAAACTGAGTCGTATTAATTTATTTCGAATATCATTTAATCCTATTAATGCTCAGGAGTAGACTTAGCTTTTTTCTAAGACAAACTGAGAAAGCGAGCGGGATGTTTTAACATAAGTCAATACTTTGAAAAAAATAAATTCGTGTGCTATCGTACGACATTTAAGTTTTATTTTATTCATGTAAGTGTTGTGTTAATATCCTCCCATATTGGTGTAGCGCGTATTTTTTTTTTTGTATTAAATGTACCGATTTATCAAAACTCTTAGATCTACCGTTGTAAGTTATGGTCCTTTCAGTTCAGAATGTCCAATTTCCAAAATGTCCAGTTCCCGAATAGGGTATTTTCGGTAGTGGAAAATTTTATTAGGAAGAAGTGGAAAATAAGTCACGAAATTGTAGAAACAAATAAAAAAATCGTGATTTTTTTGTCTGTATGTCACGTGATTTGAAACGCGATCCGCCATTTTGTGACGTCACTGTGGCGACAACTGTCAGATTACTCATAAACATATGCTTAATAATTAGAAATCTAATTCCTAGATGGCGCTGTTCTTAGCTAAAATATATCTTTTATATCGAAAACAATCATTAGATGGCATTGTTCTTGTTTTATACGTTTGACGGGCAGCGTTTTCGCGGGTATAAAAAAAGCTTAAATTTTGAATTAATTATATGGAAGAAAACGTGTTTATTATTCCGAAATATTTCTTATAAGGCTTTTTAAATTAATATAAACTGTTATAAGCATTATTTCAGAGTAGAATACCCTATCAATCCATTTCTGAAATGTTCAATCTATAATAGGGATGATGACTAATTTTTGTTTGTTTGTCCGTCAGGTAGAGTGTTAAAAAATATTAAACACGTATTTTTTTATTTTTTTCGTAATCATAAAATTACGGCGTTACATTGAGTTGAAATTTTGCATGACGTCACGTAAGAGTACGTTTTCTACTCAACTGTGACGTAGCGAGCCCCCACTTCTCAAATTTAATGCCTGTTATCTAAGCTATGTCTTGTTAATTTTAAGTAAAAAAAAATACGTATCTAATATTTTTCTATTATCTGACTGACGGACTAAATAGAATTGCATTTTTTTTACCCAGTCATCATCCCGATTGTGTTGAATACACATATGAATAATAATAGCATATTAGTGTTACTATTACGTGATTATTTAAGTGACATCCTTTCAATGCGTTTGCGGTTCATTGATGCTGTCCGGCACAGCTTAATACTGGTGAAGACGGATTTAGGTACCAAGTGGACAGTATATTCTTTCTTCAGTGAATACAACGACATCAAGATAGCAGATTGGACGTTTTTGGATTTCGATATTCGTGAATAGGACATTTTTGGAATTAGATATTCTGGACTGAAAAATGTATTATATTGGTAGTTCATCTAGTCCTTTTTCTACGAAAATTATATGTGTATTTTTTCTTTTGTTACCAGTGTTTGAAGAGATATTATCTCGAAGATGCGAGCTATCTAACACAGGCTTCCAAACGTACGCAATTTTATTGTTTTTTCATTTGTAATTTCATGCCCATTAGTTGCATTACGTTAATAACATTTTTTTTTTGCTAACAATTTTTCTTTTTTTTTAGCTTTGTTACAGTATTTGATGTTATACCGAGGGTTGCTTTTCATTGAATCAACTTGTTTAAAATTAAATTTGTATTTTATATCGAATCAGTTTCGTCTATACATAAGGTAAAACTTTTACAAGCAAAATTTTCGCACAATATCCTAGTCTCTTAACCTTTTTTGATGTGCTTAAAGTATGGAAATAATATTAATTTTATTGTGTTGTTTATCTTTTTATTGATGAATCTAAACCATCAGAAATGACGCTTTGAAAGGTGACCCAGTATACCATTTCGAGTTTAGTTAAAAATTGTATTAATCAAATTTGAATATAGATTCAAACAAATGCTTATATTTACATCTACTTTGTTTTACATTTAAGACTCAACTAATATGACTCTTCAATGTAAGAAAAAGGGTAAATTCCGAAGCTCGGCCAATGTCAACTCATCAGGTGCCTAATTTTAAAATATATCACAATAACTTTAAATTTGACATTTGAAAGATATTCACGAACTTTATGCTACAAATTTTTTGACGTGTGATAGCAATTGCGATCGCGGCTTATTTTAAAAGATATGAATGTAAAATAACGTTTATTTGACGTTAATCGGAATTATCTAAACGATATGACAATTAAAAATATCCTTGTAAGATAATGGGGAATATTAAACGAAATGAATGGTCTATGATATTTATATTAATCAAATCATCAGTAGCTCGGTGGCGTAGAGGATAAGCGCCGCGGCCCGCGATCGTAGTCGTTAAGCAACTTTCGCAAGGGTCGGTCATGGGATGGGTGACCAAAAAAATTATTATCTCGAGCTACTCCGTGCTTCGGAAGGCACGTTAAGCCGTCTAGTTGGTCCCGGCTGCATTTGCAGTCGTTAATACTCTCCAATCCGCATTGAGCCAGCGTGGAGGGTCATGGCCTATCCTCCCTAACCATCCATAAGGAAGGCCTGAGCCCCTGCAGTGAGGACGTAAAAGGGCTGGTGATGAATCATCATTTGTTTCAAAAGCGATTGTGAATTTAAAAATTACACGATTCCATAAATCACTGAGTTTAAAAGGGATTATGTATTACATTTTAAAATTAGGTACGTCAAGTGTGAGTGACACTGACACCCAATGTGTCCTATTCTACACTTACTGTTCTTAAAACAAGACTCGTTAATAGTTTTTATCATACCTTCAATCATCGACGAAATAAGAAGTATTACTGCAATTTTATGTCGCTATATTACAGCACTAGCATATGTACTAAATAATTATCTAACGTGAAACTTCATTCACAGATTAGTGAGCAAAGAGTAAAGTAATAGTGAGTATATGAGGAATTAAACATTTTTTGAATTCATAATAGAGATGACGACTATGTTAAAAAAAATTATTCTATTTTGTCTCTCGATCAGATAATAGAAAATATTAGAAACGTATGTTTTTTGCTTCAAATTAAACAAGAAGTGCCTTAGATAATAAGCATTAAAGTTGAGGAGTGGAAACTCACTGCGTCACAGTTTTGTAGAAAATGTACAAAAGCGTGACGTCATGTGATATTTCAACACAATATATCGCCTTAATTGCTTGCGCAAAAAAAAGAGTTTAATAGTCTTCAATAATCTACCTGACGGACTAACAAAAACAAATTAGTCATAGTCCCTATTAGAAAAAGTATAATTTTTATCCAATAAAACATTGCTCCATATTTGTATGTTAAGAAGGAAGGGATTTATCATATAAACGTCCATTAAAATTGTCATTAGAGCTTAAAGTCGCCATTAAACCTCAATGGACGTTTGTTCGTATATGTTCGAAAAAGTTTGGTAACTACATGTGCTAGTACTGCCATCTATGACGATCTTTACGTAGGTGTTGTATTGTGTTCTTTGAGTTTGAATTTGAGATTCATGATGTAACTTATTAGTTGGGTCTTACTGTGCAATTGTACTAACATATTGCGCTGTTATTTGTCCCCCCCTTTTTTAACAAGAATCCTATTATACTTTATAAATTTTGCCGTCAGAATAATATCCTGGAAGGTATTCTTAATGTAAAATGCTTAAAAACCTACCCCTTGCTGACTTGATGAAAATGCGCTATGTAGTACCGAAAAGTAACAAGTGCTTGAACAATTCGTCAGTCCTATTAGGTCCTAGGTAGCTCAGTGGTTAGAGCAATCGTATGTACTGTGAATTGTCGTGGGTTCGAGTCCCAACTCAGAGTGCCTGGGGCTGGTGGATTTTTAAGCATTTTTTATTGAGAAGAATATTATTTTCTAAGAAATTAATTACACATTTTTTTTAGGTAGAATTATCATTCAAAGGGATTCATCTGTTATTTAAACAAGATATTGAACAATGGAGACTACAACAAGAATCTTCAGCCGAATTTTGTACCGTGTTAGTACTTATTTTGTTTGATATGCCGTTCAGTATATATTTGTCGTTTGTTATTCGAAAATGCCATAGAACACAAAATATATTGATAGACTGAATTTATCTGTCGTTTCAAAGTTCCTCGAATATTAAATTGGATAACTTTTGCATGATTAGAAACTGAATAAAACCTAATAAAGTACGGCATAAACCTCTAACGCAAGTACGAGGGAATGTTCTTAATTTTAGGGATATAATCATTGGCGCGTCTTACACTCGTATCTATAGTCGAGTAAAGTAAATTAAGTAAAAGTAATTACCTAAGCAAATGTTTTTAACAAATAAACAATTGGAATAAAGTAAGAACTGTTAATAGTAAATATATTATTATTAGCTATGAAGAGTTTTTATTTCGTTCGAATTTTTTTCGACTCTTTAAAAGTATCGGCATAAGTTATGTAATTTTCTCAAGTAATTACTTTGACTATAGATACGAGTCTTATCGTTTAAGAATGTACACAAGAATGAGCAAAAAGATAAGAGGTACCACTAAAGTCAAATTTTGATATTAAACTCTACCTGCAATGCATCAAGGTTTATAATGAAGTGGTGAAATTTGAAACTTGTGTAGCCTGGCTGTACTATGAGAATAACCTTTAGGCATAAATTTTATATGCGTAATTAAATAAGTTGTTGCATTTTGCAGAAATTCACAGTCAATATCGCCTCTAAGCATACATACAAAATACTTATGCAGGTAATTGTATATGGCGCTTGCCGTTTACTACCATAGCACGGTCGCTCAGGTAGCTTTTTATATTCGTCAGAGTTCTAACATAACCAATTGATCAGATTTTTAATTGTTATGCTAAACGAAATTATGCTAATCAAATTATACCAAAAGAAATCTTGCCTTTATAAATTTGAAAATTCAGACAAACATTCGTTCGGTCATTAGACATAATCTTTAATGATGTTTACTTCATAAGTAAATTAATTAAAAATAAATGATGCCACATAATTTTCTGGGCTTCGATAACTCACAAAATTTATTACCTCAAGAATTTTCTCACCAATCTCCATATAGCGACAACCTTCTTATGTCCGAGTTACTCTAACGACTTCTGGGGTTAAAACATGTCTAACAATAAGAAATTAACTGGAACCGATGAGCTTAAACGCTATTGGTATATTAAAAAATAAAATACATTATATATGCAATATGATTTATTTTTCAATACGTAAGCGCAATAATTTTGCTTTGACTGTCAAAATATTTAATATTCAAGAAGCAGGTACAAGTGATGTTTACAACACTTACAAATTCAATTTCATACATTCTACAATTGGTAAATAGTGTATAAACCGCGCGTAAGCCGTAGCGATTAGGTCTGGAGTGGTTAGTGAATGAGAATGTAGCATATTGCTTTTGTTTATTTTACTTTTGACACAGACTATCTCGCGAATGGACAGCAATGACGACATTGGCACAGACAAACAATAATAAACTGTAGCTTCTAATATAGATGGCCATTGCGACTTATACGCGGTTTAAATACCTACCACTGATTACAATAAAAAACAATTTTGATATTTGACAATACAAATAAAGCCGAATACTGGTAACAGCATTAACAATAATCTATACAATGAGCTCGGTTTTGTTGCACGTTGACAATTTAATAGAGTTCCTGCCTCCTTTTCTGTTTAAATAAAAGAAAAAAACTAAGAGCAGACATAATAGTGTTTATGCCTAAGCTTTTGGTAAGTAACGCTACGCGTGAGTAATTCAAATTACATCTTATGTTCTGTGCAACAAAAACGAGCTTTTTACTTAAAATTTGTGACATGGAGATACAAATATAATATTTTTATAAAAGCATTATTAAATATAATACCAAATATACCATTATTCAAAAGATATAACAACCTATCAAAAGTACATTTTAGCAAATAAAGTTATAAAATATATTACAATTTAAAACGAGAAGATATTAAAAAAAAGCACTTAGAGCTTGGGCAGACCAAGAGTGAGACCATCTAACTCTTCAGTCATGATTTTAGCCCTAGTGTACGACAATATCGATTTTGTGTCGATGTTTCATTTAATTTTACTACTTTAACATGTTCTTTATTAACGACGAACGAATGATAAAGAATATTGATGACGGATTTGACAGCAGCTTTACCAAACTAGTAATTTATCCACCAAAAAACATGTCAAAGAAGTAAGATGAAACGAATTATCGGCACAACATCGATAAGATGTAGATCCTTTAGTTAGAATCATGGCTAGAGCTAGGTCGCTCCCCGGACTGTCGACTTAGGTCTTTTAGAAGAGGTCGGTAACGCTTCGTGATATCATAGTCTGTTGTCTACACATTCTGGATATTGTTGAAATGTTCATAAACGTCGCGAGATTTGAATTCACAACGTACATTCTGCAATGCTATTAAATCACTCAATAATGAAATGTTACTATTGTAATTGTGCGACTGAAAATATTACAGTATATAAAGCATTGTTATTATATTAAAATAGAAAACTTATTTTCAAGTTATAATAACATCTACATAATATTTTGTTCCGTATGTAAGGCCGTTCTGTATATACTATTTGCAACCTTAAAGACTTCCATTTCGGTTGTAATTCGAATAAAAGGCGCGATTTAAGACACATCTTTTGCTTGAAATGCAAAATTATTATGTTAATTGATTTTATAGATTAAATTATACTGAAAAATCTTGATAATTTCCAAAAAAAAAAACTAGTATCACATATTATAATGTCTATAACCAACTGTACAGTGAATATCCCGTGACACTGCTATAAAGCGCTAATTAAAGTCTTAGAGAATTTCATTTGAACACCTTCCTAAGTTAATCTTATAAGTAAGATTACTACGAAGATAATTTCCTTTCTCAACGAAATTTACGTGTTGAACTTCAACCATATTAAAATTAGAAAAATTTAACACTTAGAAGATTCGCGGGACAAATTGGAAAATAATATGTTTTTGGTACAACCATTACGATAAACTATATTAGATCTTGTTTAACAAGAAATCAAAAGTTGTGCTCATTATAAAATCTTTTTTTTTATCACAATATGTATTCATATAGCAACAATAAAAAATAAATGCTCGCACGACTTCCTTGCTGCTTGAGCAGCCATAGACTAGGATCACTGGTATGCTGAAGGCACTTTTAGTAAATATACAAATATCGGTAACTTTGTCTTAATGGAAAAGTATTTATTTTAAGAAATTCGCATATTATAATAGCGATTCGGGTATATTCACAATAATACAACGGAATGTGAACTTAAAATGGTATTATTTACGGTTGAATTTCCATTAACTTTTCTTGAGCAGTGCTTGTATTTAAACTTCCTAATATTTAGTGCGCCACGAGTTTTTATAATATGCGAAGATCTTTACAACGGTGTGTGACTTTTTTCTAATTTCTCCCGAAAATAGAGAAATTAAAAAAATCTTAAAACACAGGTTTAATCTGTGCCATATTGAACCTTAGCCCATAAGAATTATGATCTTAACCTTGGTAACATCAAAGCGACAAAGTTACGATAAGCGGACTCAACCATGTTTACCTAATTGTAAGACTATTTCAACACTCATAAATATATCATCGATTACTCTTATATAAGCAGTTTGTTTATATTTATTATGAAAAAATATAAAAGTAGTGATATTATAAAAAATGACGTCATTTTTTAACAGTGACCTTAGCTAGATAGCAGCTGAATCGAGTTATAATAGCAGTTTGTAATATCAAATAATTTATTGTTACCTTTTCATCTAATAAACTTAAACGGTATTTTAAGCTTTATTTCTTATAAAATAAAGTTCATTACAATATTATCGTGTGATGAGTTTTTATGTATTTTTTTTCAATACTGCCATGTTTTAATGCTTGGATGGATAATGACGTCATATTTTATTAATAACTTCCATAACACTAGCATTCTTATAGAAAATATTAACAAAATAACACAATGTATCGTGATTATAGTAACAGGCACTTCACAATAGTTAATATCTAAATATGGGGCTGAATGATTCGTAATTTCATATTATTTATAGGCATTTCATGTATATATAAACAATATATAAGGACATAAGATTTAAAACAAAATTTTTTTAGAGAAGCTATGAAATAACTAATTTAAAAAACATTAATTCAAATAATATTGAGTTTTGATTAATATTATAAATCCCTTTATAATAATATATTCTCGTGTCAATTATGGAAATATGTAAGTAGTTAGACATTAGCATAAACTTAAATTACACTTAATTCTTTACGTAATATCACGACATACTATGAGTTAAAAGCACCTTATAATCTATTTATAACTATTAAACTGGTATGAATATATTTCTGTAACATAAAATATATTTTCGGAATTTAACAGAGGTACTGCTTTATTGTACTGGAAGTTTATTATGTGATGTTTTCAATTATATAATATAAATTATTTAATTATAAGTTATATGAAACTACTCCACACTTAACTCAAATACTTACATATAATATTTATAAATCTAATATTCATACGTCTAATATCTGTAGACATTGAAAATATCAGTCAAACATTGCACCAAAAATATAATAATCAGATCTCAGATCAAACTAATATTATGTACAGATCAAAGCAAAATTATAGAACTTTTAAACATAAGACGAATGTGGTAATTTTTTATGTTAATAATAATTAAACAACTAAATAATATAATATTATGTGATATACCTACCTACCGTACGTACTGTTTCACAGTGTTATCTACGCGACAGTGATTCGAAATTATTTTCACAACACAAATATAAAATAAAATCATGAAATATATTAAATGAAAATGTGAAGACTTCATTTGTTTTTTGTGATTTCTTCGACATGGTCATTGATCACTCAGTAGACTTTTTTGGGAAACGACAATCTTTACAGTTAACTACAACCGATGGAAGTTGCATTAAAAAACGTCTGTCTTTGTCTATTTTACATTTTAAAGACGAAACAGCACACAGCATTTGTTTTTTTTTTAAAAAAGCTGTTGATAATATTTACCTTTCTCAAAAACAAAATAGCTGTAATATATTTAGGATATGAAATGATTGCATTTCAAATTTCAACGAAAGACAAGAAATAGATAATAATTATTTTTTGACAACAGAATTTAGTTAGAAAATAGAGTGGAAATTTAGGAAATCTTCCTATTTTGGCGACGTTTCTATAAAGATATCATTAAAAAAAAAACAAAATGTGATCTTAGTAACATATGGACACTATCCTCAAAACTGTAAACGTTTCATGCACGACCACCATTTAAACCTAGATAATATGTTGTTGTTCTACACAGTAGACATACGATTTCGTTTCGAAATAAATTCCCCGCCTCACATCTTTCTGGCACATCTATTTCATTTTTCAAACAAGACACAATAAAAGTTTTCCACTTTATTTATACATTCTTTAAACTGTTATCCCACTATAATATTCAACAGATGAAAAAAAAGTGTAAAGTTGTCAACGGTGATACTCTATTTCGAATTAATTTTCAAAACTCCAAAACTTCAAAAATATACGTATACATGTCAAAAATAAATTTTGGACCCGACAAAAAGTGAATGGATGGTACATGTACAACAACGGTAGCTAAACGAGACAACCGTCGTTAAGGCCATTATTGAGTTTTGTTTGCGCTTCGGACAAAGTGCTCGGGTACGTGTGGCACTGCTGCGTTGCGGGAAGCGCGTATGTCACTTCTTGGTCGTAGTACTCTTGTTCTGGATCCATTGGAACCAAGAGATTTGTGGCCTTAGGGAGATATCCGTCTGTGGAGATAAAGTGAGCTTCGGAATTGGGCGGTAGACTGAGAACGCTGTCCGGTCTGTTGTAGTCTTCGATAATTTGGGGCTGTACGTAGATAGTGTCTAGAGAAGAAACTGTGTCGATGGAAGACTCATTGTTTAGAGGTGTGATACAAGTGTAACTGGACGCGAGAATGTTCGCCGACTCCGGCCTTATGTAAGGAGACGCTTCGAATGAAGTCGGGAATGTTGTCGGTGATTCGTATGGCCGGATCATGTTGTAACTTGCCGTCGGAGACTGCCTGGTGTTGGAATTGTTGTTTTTTACACAAGACGCCGAGTGGAGAGAGAGCATGTCCATCAGTTGCCTCTTCTGCACTTCCAGATCCTGTTGACATATCGAATTGTTAATTGAATTTTAACAAGTGCTTCGTTGTACTGAGACGAAATGTTTTATTTCCTAGAAATCGTGTACTAATGACGAACTCTCGTACGACTGTTTGTTATTCAAATTAGTCACCTTCGCCTCAGATAACACCTACACGTTGGATTCGTGTGTCAATAGGTTTTATAATATCCGTGTACTTAATTGGATAAAACCTAAAGAAACCGTTTCATTCAACAATTGTTATCTGTTATCACGTTGATTCGTAATAATAAAGACTTTTTTCACAGTTAATTACGATATTGCTCTCGGCCGCTGTAATTCTAAACATGTTTCATTATTATAGACTGCGCGGTCTTACTATAACGCGATAATTTATCTTAAAATACAGTGCAATTGCAATAGTCGATGAGATATATTGCTACACATGCGGAAACCTACATGCTTACACTCGAATTGCATTTTGACATTGCAATTGTAACGTTTCGTGCTTTTAATTTGGTACACTAGCGCCAATACTCTCAATATTGCGTGATTATTGAATGAACTAATAGACACTGTGTAAATATTGAGTATTTTAAGAGTACTAGCTAAGATTTGTTGAAAATTGATATTTTTATTGGATTGGTTTGAGATTGCGTTTAAGAGTGAGCCTTCTGGTGTTTTACTTTAACAGTGGAGTTTTAATCATAGACAAGAACTCATGGTATGGCTCCAGCTCGTCATTAAATGTACAGTCATAGGTGTGAGATAATTTGAGTTAATCTTTTAAAAATGTGTTACACAAAACGATTAAGTATTATTATTATTAAAGTGGGTGAACTATTCTCATCCATGTTATCTTCAATTTTGAATAATTACTGCCGTACTGTTACAAACTTAATGACCAGACATTTCCTGATCATTAGAAGATATGAAATAGCACTTCGACTAAGAACGTGATACCTAGATGATAACGCACTAAATGAAGAGTTAAGCAATAATAGAAGTATGAAAGAGCACACTAGAAAATATAGAAATTAATATTAATAATAATAAAACCATAATAAGTAAGTTCCTAATCTTCAAATTCTTCTTTCGATTATACTAAATAAAAAAACCTTGTCTTAGAGTGTGTGGGTGGTGTCGTATTGTGTGCTATCTAAGTATGACATGATTCGATTCAGAATAACTTTATTATAACAGAATGATGACTGATTGATACTAATTTGTCGCTATAATATAGTTCAATGTATGTTAAATCCTTGAATCATCTAGTAGATTAATACAGGGGTGACGAACCTTTACGTATCAACGTGTCATATTTTAAAAGAAAAGTACGAGTATGATAGGGTCATAGAAGCGCCATCAAATAATTTATAGCCGTGTGATTATAGAGAATATAACAAATAAATTGTGAAATATTTAATACCCGCTTTACACTTTAGTTTTCGTACTTCATAATTAATTTCGTGATGAGATTAGGGCCCAAAAGATTGTGCCGCGTGCCATTGGTTCGTTATCCCTGATCTAGTACCATATCGTGATACCATTATTTTTTTAAATAAATGCACTTTTTTACATCTTAGAAAGCAGAAAAAGACTTGAAAAAGGTTTTGAACCGTGTATATGAGTTGTTGTGCGTAAGCTCATAACTTTGAAGCACAACATTGTCGGTGATCGAAATTGGACAAAAACCGACGACAAATAGTCAACGTTTTAAATCTACTCTCTCTCATTTCCACATTATGCAGTTTAAAAGATTCAAAAAACCAATCGGAAGGTCATAGATCCAATTGCACAAACGTCCATTGAAATTGTCATTACATTAGCAATACACATTTTCAAAAGAATATTTATTAGAGCTTTAAGTCGTCATTAAACCATAATTAACGTTTGTTAACTAGGAATTAGTAACTTATTAATACTTATATAAGATAATGTCGTCTGAGAAGACAGTTATTGACGGCTCGAATAATAGAAAGAAAAAGCTAAATACTTTTTTTAATTAAGACGTCCTATATTTCTACTAATCAATCAATCTGCAATTGAAAATATCCTAGTTGGCTTTCAAGGGGTCTTCTTAGACGATACTTATCTTAGATCGATTATAACAAAGTTGTTACCTTTAATTGTGCCTTTAGATCTATATTTTGATTCTCCAAGACCTCGCTCTCTGTGACCAGGTTGACAGTTCTTTCACGTTTCTTCATTCTGCACTTGGTAGCTGCAATTTTATTTCTTTCTCTTCTTCTCCTTCTACGTTCTTCGTCTTCTGGCGTAAGCTAAAATGTAAAAAAGAAATATTTTGTAGTTATAAGTATTTAAAATTGACAGACTTTTAAAATGTCACTACTTGAAGTGAAGAGTGGTTAATACTAGTGCACTATTTCATGTGTATCGTGCAATGAATCTTAAATCATAATCGTTTAAGGTAAATTTCGTTTAAGGCTATTAGTGGGTGTATAATGAGGTTTATTTACATAAAATATTTTTTTAGGAAAGAGCGCATATAATGATTAACTTATAGTTATTTAAGATACGAGTGCGGAAAGTAAGGTTTTACGAATAAGGGCCAATTGAAAACAAGAGCGTAGCGAGGGTTTTCATTGGCACGAATTCGAAAAACCTTTACGCTCAAGTTTTTTACAACATTTTTAGGTTAATAAAACTAAGTATGTATTAAAGGTAAAAATTATTTGTTAAAATTAAACGTGATATTTGAACATGTTTTCGTGTCATACATTTTTATTTGAAAATATTCGTTCTAGGCTCCTTGAAATACTTTTTTGCCTCTAAAGTTTGACATATTTTCAACAATTTTTCTTAAATTTCTTTGGTGCTCGGCCAAAAAGAAATTAAAAAAATACTTTTAAGCACGAGTCCAGTAAAAGGTTTTCAAAGTATTAAAAAAATAGCGCTTTATGAGCAACTGCATTGAAGAAACACTTTATTATACTGTACGTTTCTTGTAGTATCTACCTATAGTTTTTTACTGTGATATATCTCAAAAACATGATTAAATTACTTAAACCGATTCTTTTATTAAACGCTAGATACTATGATTAGATATTGATATTATGTTTAACCGGATAGGTTAGTGAAATATCTATAACGCATCCTGCTAATTATTATTCTTCGCCATTGGATTCCTCATTGTCGTATTAGTTTCAGCATCGGGAAGTTAAGTCACGAGCTGGGACCGACGCCACATTTGCGATGCCTTCTTTGTAAGCTCATAAAACTTCAATGAAGCCGTTGAATTGTAATGCATGGTGACAACGAAAGCGAGTTTAGTTACTAGTGCTTTTCTCAGTATGAATTTGCAGTTAAATTGATATATGTAACGGTATAGTAGGTTTGTAGTGACGACGATGTCTACATTAACTAGAATTACATAGGAAGGTTAGGTCGATAATCTTCCAGTTTGACATGATTTGCTGAGATAATGTCCATGTTGACCTAATTATATTTTTTTACTGATTTTTTATCTTCCTGGCAGGGATCGTACAGTAAACAAATAAATGGGACAACCTTTTCGGACGATACTTATTTAGTTACTAATTTTATAGATTTATTACATAGGTAAAATGCTTAGAGTGCAATATGATGCTTACCACTACTACTGGAACTTAGTGTCCCCTACTATCTAATATTACTCACTTCATTGTACCTACGTACATGTTTCAATGGAAAAGTACTTTGAGTATTTCCGAATATACGAGCTATTTTAAAATATGTAGTATATTGTTTTATAAAAGTTGATATGAGACAAGGAAAAATAATTTCAATTACATTAGGCAAAGAACACATAGAAACGGTTACCTACTTTTTTTTGTAAAATATCACTTAACTAAAGTAAATTATGGATAGGTTGACTTTATCAATCAAATTGCAGTTTTCTGACGTAAGTGTGTCACGAACGAGTACCTATAAAAACCAGAATAAAGTTTCTTTCTTCAAACGGGCCAATTATAGAATTTATTTATAAAACATTAGGTAAATATTGGCTTTAATTTCAATTAAATGGTTTTACTGTGGATTATATGGAAGGATGAGAAGAAATTTCCTTATTGTACTTCCAACGTTATTCAAATGAAGTCGTGAGAGTTGTCCTGTGTGATTAATAATAACGAGAATTGTATTAGAAATACAGGGTTAGAGTTAGGTCGAGTTAGTCATCAAACGATTACGGGAAATAATTAATCAATCATGTACCTATCTGAGTTTATTATTTAGATTTTAAATCCTTTACATTGCTTGCAAAAATTTACTATTTAAGAATAATTTTATAGTTCACACTTTGGAGTCTTTATTTCTATATATTTCATTGTTAATGCGAGCAATTTGCTTTATAACCGGCTTTTAAAAAGGAGGAGGTTGCTTGTTTTTAAATCAATTATTGGAATTTATGTTTCTGTTTTTACCAAGCTCGCACAACCTCGCCTTAAGTCTCATTCTCACTCGGCGGAGAGTAAGATAGTGGGTATTGGTGCATCGCCCGATAGTGTGATTGCCTGGCATAATATGCAAGTACATCAGTGAGCCACATCAGTTGTATCTTACTGTACTGTATATTTAAAACTTACCCCGTCACTTTTTGTCGTCTGCGTATGACTACTATCATATTCGTCGTCGCTCTCTTCTTTCTTCAAACGTTTGAATCCACCGTCTGTGTCACTGCCAGACATCTTCCTCTTCGATTCGATGGATAGCTTCAGACCCGCCTTTATGAGATCCGAACACGTCTGTAAATAGAAATTCGTGTTTACTATATAAAAGAGTATTGCTAGATTTTCTGTGTCATATTCGTAATTTCCTTTTTTCTTTTCTATACTTAATATTATCGTATGATGTGGACGTAAACTATATTTTATCCCGAAAAACAGCAAAAGGATGAAAATCCGAGTTAAAGTTTGTATAGGGAATTAAAATGTTACCATTGTAACCATTGTTTGCTATTAAATTTGTCATTGTAAATATATTCGTGTCATGATGAAATTTAATTCTATGTCTGGATAAACATACGGGCTACTTTTTATGCCATTAAACAGTTCCCTAGGGACCACGTGGGCGAAGCCTCTGGTGGAAAGCTACTTAAATATAAACTATTAAGCTCCGAAAATTAACTTATGGTGTAAAGAGAAAACACCGTCAATATTATAGGAATACACCTGCCTACCTGAAACTTGGCTACGGGCTTTGCTTAATTATTTATACCCGGTTTTTTTCTGTCGCGATTAATATAACATTGACTGTAGTATTTTAAAAATAATTAAGTACTTATATAAATACTTCATTATTTTAACATCGTCCAAGTATATAGATAATTGAATTCAGTTAATCAACAATATTGAAGATAATGATAAATATTTTAAATTTTCATCTACATATATATTCATCATTTACTATAAGCGAGGGAGCTGGATGGAGTTAGCACGCTCGGTCTGTGGTACGGTTAAGTATATCCGCAAGGGCCTGTCCTAGGATAGGTGACCAAATATTTCTCTGTGCTTGTGAAGACTCGTTAAGCCGTTAGTCTGCTGTATTTGCAGTCGTTTACTCTCTAATCCGTACTAGACCCGCGCGGTGGGTCATGAGCTATTCTCCCTATTTGATTTGAGTCTATTCCATCCATAGGGGAAGGTTTGAGCCTCAGCTGTGGGGGCATTAATAGTCATAGCAATAATGAATTTGAAAATCTAATTGCTGATGTCTTTTGTGTTGATATTCATTAAAAAAATCTCTTAATATACAACACATCAGTATAAGTGCCATTAACATATTCTAAATATGTTCAAAATGAATTGTTAAAACTGTTTACATAATTATCATATCAATCTCCAATAAAGCGTGGGTCGATATGTATTGATTGAGCTCATTCGGCATAATAATATAATTATGATTGATGTCTGTTTGCGCAGGCACACCTTGAATCGACTATAGAGATGGATTATAATTATTACTTTTGCTTGAGAATATTTTTTTTTACATATATTGCAATGTTTTACAAATGAATCATGGTTAATTCACCTTGATTGAATGATAGAGCGAAGGTTGAAGTTGGATTCTTAAACATCATCAATGTACAGGTAATAATTGCGTACCCATAGATAATTAACAAATTTAATTCTCTCATCAATGAATCTCACGACGAATTAAACAAAACTAATATTGTAAGTATTAGAGTTTTTGTTCCTATAACGAAAATTAGTATTTTAACGATTTATTTATAATATAACATATTCATAAAATAGACTATTACGTGGACAGATTAGTCGTATTATATTAATAATATTCCTTAATTGCTATTTTAAATAATCATGACATATTTCTTGACGTTTTTGACATCTGGATGGAAAAATACTTCGATTAGGTAAGAATAGGTACCATTATAACCTCATAACAACATACAAAATTACTATGAAAGATTCTTCTTCAAGAATTTCATTTTTATAAAAGAGTAGAAAAAACATTTATATGGTTTTTAAGTATCTATATTGTTCTGTGGCAATTTAATATGGATTCTATTTAAAAAAAAAAAAACCTCTCGGTTATATTCTAAGTTTTCTTCGGTAGTCTAAAAATTCGTACCTATTCGAATGGGAGATATGCCAATATTCTGAGATTGGAAGATCTACATTCTGCTTATTTTAATTATGCATTTTTATAAAAATCATCGACTTCATATATATTTCGTTTCTCTTGTCTTCATTTGTGGACTAGATGTATAGTCTAGTAAAAGCCGACATCAACCTTGATGCCTTATTCTATAGGCCATATGGTCGTTATTCATAATTGTTTCAACTGCCTGGAAATGAATTTATCGGGTCTTACGGAAACGCCTAAATAGCGTTTTTATATTTATGCTTTATGTATTTCTTATCTCTTAACAGATTTTAGTAAGATAAACTGATGTTCGTGAAGCCGAACCATTTATAATGTTGATTTTTTTTCTCATATTATAAACGTCCGCCCATTGTTATCTTAGCATGTAGGCAAAGGTCTAGATTTCACAGATGTTACGTTTGAATAAAACATCATTCGCAATATAATTCAAACGCTTGTGTTTATTCAATAATAACTATAATTATCAACAGTAAAAACTTGGTTTTCAATTGAATTAGATTTAATTGACATTCAGTCAATCATTGAGTTCCTTTTATCGTATTAATGGAAATGTTTGATTTAATTATTTATTACAATTCTATTAAATTATGTGATAGCCCGCGACATTTGTTAAGGAACTTTTTTATTTCATCATTATCAGCTCTTTTAAGTCCCCACTGCAAGGGCTCAGGCCTTCCTTATTGATGGGTAAGAAGGATGGGCTATAACCCTCCACGATGACCTAATGCGGATTGGAGGGTATTAACGACTGCAAATGCAGCCGGGACCAAATGCTTAACATGCCTTCCGAAGCACGTAGTAGGTAGATATCATATTTTTTTAGTCATCCATCCCATGACCGACCCTGGCGAAAGTTGCTTAACAAAGATCCCGTCGCTTAACCTCATCATTACCTTTTCATTTACGTTTATTTAAATCGCTATCATTCTTTCAACCCTCTTAAGCCCTAAACGTAATAAAATTCCTATCAAACAGTAAGTAAAAACGAATTTGACAAACACCCATTTTCAGTAACAAACTAGAACAAGGCAGGCTTAACTAGGATACGAATACCCTAAGCAGATTAGTTCAATTTCAAATAAATATTTTACATATACGAGTATATATCTTCTTTCTTCTTTCTTCTTGTCTTATATATAAAAATGAATCGCAAAATGTGTTGGTAAGCGCATAACTCAACAACGCCTCGACCAATTTGGCCAAATCTTTTTTTAAAATGTTCGTTGAAGTTCAAGGATGGTTTTTACGGCGAGAAAAATTAGAATTATTGCTGGAAAAACCCTAAAAATAGCCCTTTTCTTTTTCCCATACAAATGATTTGTAACTAAAACGTAGTCAATTTGAGCTTTATTGCTATGGTATAAAGTTCATATTAAATTACAAGCACTCACTGTTGTCTAAGCAATGTAGGTGTGTTCCTAACGTCAAAGATCATATCTATCAAAACAATGTGCGTGTGTGCGTTGGAGCACAGAATACATAGTTGGAGGAGTTCACAACGCCCTATCACCAGGGTGACGGTTCTGTTCAGGAGAATTTTTTTAAATACGTAGGCAAAAAAACTGCCACATTACAAATCTTTTTGACAGGACGAAGTCTGTCGGGTCAGCTAGTATATAATAAATATTTTACATAAATATATACGCAAATGCCTAGCGCAAGGCGCCGCATAACGAATATCATAACCTTAGACATTGCTTAATTTGGTTAGGTGGTTCCTAGTCAATGGTGAAATGCATTTTTACCTTAGGCGATTCCTAAATTCGATATACATTTGCCCAAGTAGATATCTACCTACTTTAAGTAGTTGACCTCAGAACAAAATTCAATTTGTCTTTTAGTCAGACACTACATTTGCCTGAAACAGTTTTATTGACGCTGTGCGATACGTACAGTATTCTCAATAGTTAATATTCTTAATATCCTTTTAGGATTGATTTTAAATTTGACATTTTATTTAGTATAACTCATATTTTAATTTAAATAAAAAAATCATATTTGGTTAATTATTATATACTTTGATCTGTCTCTCTCACATTCTGTTGATCTAAGCAGGCAGGAAAATACTGCAGGATTTTGCAATAGCGGATATAAGTGACACGAACTAATGAGAAATCTTAGTCATGAAAGATGTGAAAATAGATTGTTACCTTTTGTATGCTTGGCGGAGTACCAGATGCTGGAGAAGTGGCCGAAGATCCGTTCGACATGGAAGAGTTGGACTCATTGCCGCTTCCTGGCTGTGAAGAAAAATGGCAAAATATAACAAAATAATCTACACTTGTAATGAGATATGGATATGATGGAATATTTCTAGAATATCTACTAAGAGCTGAAGTGAACTAAAACTAAAAAATATTTAAAATCAAGGGTTATACATCGCAAAATATCAATTTATAGAACATAGAAAATGCAGGGGAAAAACGATACTAGGTCTACTATAGCAAAAACGTTGCTTGAGATCACTTTATCATATAGCTTTATAAAAGAGTATACACGCTAACGTAATATCGATAAGACAAGCATGAAGCCACATTTATTACGCGATTAGTGCATACCATACAAAATCAAACATTGTAATTGTTATGTACGCACAGCAATGGTACAATGTTTAATATCAGCCATAATTAATCCTTTGTCCTATTGTCGTCACGCTCTGAATTCTGCACGTTCATTTTGATATAGTAATGAGATTCATTCATATGATAGTGTGCCGATGTAATGATAATCGTCAACACAGTAAATAATGTGGTCGCGTACGATATCTAAATATAGATAACTCGATATCAGTCGGTGGCGCCAAGGAGTCTGACTGATTTCTCCGTGTAAATAAGAGATTTACTTAAGGTGTGTGACCTCACGCTGTTGCATGCTAGCTGCAAGACTATCCAATGTTTATTACGAGGGAATGATGGTGCAGTCACGTGGTCCTCGCGACTAGTCACCCGATACTTGGCAACAAGTCAACGGACATGTAACGCTTATTTTGTATTCACCTGGCGCTTCAATGCGACCTAAGTACTACGAGAATCCTGTAACCAATGTGTTTCTATTGCTCGATTGTCAAAGAATAGGATATTTGAGACAGAGGCTATGGAAATAACTTATTGTTAAATTATGACTAGCCTCACAAACTACATATTGTTTCATAATTTTGAAACTTTATCTGTAATTCTTGAAATGTATAAAAAATAAACTGTGTTATAAAAAGGATCTATGTAAAGCATGCAGTGTACTTTGGTGCGCGTGCGTTATTTAATAACAGCAAAAAGTAAACAGTGCCTCACCTTGAAACTGGAATTTTTATCGCTGTAATTGTACTGGTCCAAAGGATTGGTCATAGTGATTACATCGTTGACAATTTCGGGCGTGCGGAGTGTTGTAGTGTTGGTCTCCGCGGATAGGAGGTTGATGACAGCAGTACTAAGGTTAACGTTCACACTGAGATTGTATGCACCAGAAGATTCCCCATCCCCCAACGCTGCCGTAGGCGACGGCGAAGTGTCCTCGCACTTAATCGTAGGCACAGCGGAACTCATACTTGATGAGTTCATTATATCTTTGTATGGAGCCAGCTTGGCTACTTTTTGGTTACTTTCAAAATAAAATTTATTGGTGTTAGCACCTTATTCTAAGTATATATCACGGTTATGCACTATCACTAGATGAGACTATATCACTTCTTATGGTAAACTTGTTGCGAATGGCACTTAAAGTCTTCTTCTTCAGAAGTCTTCACGGGTAACGTGACACTGTTTCAATCTGTAAAAAAAGAAAATGTATGATTATATTTGATGAATTTTGTATTACTAATGCTATACTGAGAAATATTCTTAAAGGAAAATGCTTAAAAAATCCACTTTGTCCCTGGCACTCTGCGATGGGACTCGAACCCATGACGAAAATTCAATGTAGTAGCGAAAACGCAACAAGTGCTTGAAAAAATCGTCAGTCCTGTTAGATCCTGGGTTACTGGTTAGAGCGGTCGCCCGATCTCGGAGTGCCAGAGACAAATTGGATTCTTTAAGCATTTTTTATTAAGAATATAAAAATAATGTATTTTAAATACACTATATTTCGAGTTGGTATGTACAATACCGATTTTAATAATATTATCGGTAAAATCGTCCTTCTTGAACTTGTTTCGAAAAGGGCACGGTATATCGCAAGACATTTTGAAGGGGCCGCGCTTTCGCAAGAATGGACAGTATGTTTTTAATTAGAGCTTCGTGGCCTCGAAGCCAGGATGCGACTCCAATAAAACGCTTTTTTACAAGCCCCAATTGAATACGAGTCATAAAATTGAAACTACGCGCGCTTTTTACGACGCATTTTAACGCTCTTCCGCGTGGAGCATCGTCTCAGACCATTGTTTGCCGCATATCGTGTGGATTATTGCTGGACTACCACAAGGACATGCACGGATTAAGTAATTAACGAACACCGTGACTCCGGCTTTAGATCAGACAACATTATGTGGAAATTAGGTGTCGAGACGCATAATTGGAACAAGCTCGTGACAAACACATTCGTTCATAGCTATTTGCGATCAAACAGAAGCTAAATCTGCTAGTTCCATATATAGCTAGTGGAGTCGAAAGCTGCTTGACGCCTTGACCCAGCCTGCGTATCTGTTTGTATATCTCATATCTGCTGCACGTAAACACAATAAAGCACCAAGTCGAAGTAACCTAGTTGCAAGGTAAGTTTTACTTATTCCACTCGCGAAGAGTGAGGAAAAATCTTTGACCACAAAAACATGGTAAGTTGTAGTCAACAATATTCCAAGGTCGATATTTACCAATTCTCAGAAATCTGACAACAATGCTCAATATCTTATTGCTTAGCTTTCTGCTAAATGAAGCAAAAAGCTTTCTTACTTTTTAGGTAAATAAGTCCTTCTTTAGGATAATGTTAATTACATTTATTAGTGAGATTAAGCATGAATGTGTTTAAATATTGCAAAAAGTAACCCGACTCTTAAGTATTTCAAAATATTGGAAATCGCCTGCTAGAGTCTCATAATGAAATACAAAACCTTTAATTTAAGAACAAATACCTAAACTTGCTTTCATATCGAATGTGAATGGACTTCTTTATATGGTCACTCTCATTGTTTATATGTTATACCAAGCGATAAAACCAGTGTGGGCAGCACTAAATACATTTATATCGAATATGCAAATCCAACAGGTAGGCAGTAGGACGTCCGCACTCGAAAAGGAGAAAAGGAAAGATATAAATGTGTCCGTTATACGCTGCGTAGGTTTAAAATTGGCTTTTGATAAATTTATAAGCATTTTGTGTAACTATTAGTGTATCTAAATTCTACATCTTATCGATCCATTTGAAAGCGTAATAGACAACTGCGTCGTTCTGAACTTAACAACTTTCTTGGGAGTTGCATTTTCTCTTTTCATCGTATCACATAATGCGGGTGTGAAAAGGACACAACAAGGATTCGAAGAAAGGGGTCGAGATGGTCATTTGAATAACGTCATAACGACCGTTTGTCGTGAACGCCGATTGGTCTTTTAGTCTCGCCGCGTACGCGAGAAATAGGTGACCTAGTTTTATTTGACCGCGCCTGCTGCGTAGCTGCGCTCGTGTTATCTTAATTGCATTACTTTGAATGTGTTTTTCTGTGTATTAAAAAAGTTATTTTTAGTACTTTAAACTTTTTTTAACTAAATATAATTCCCCTTTAAACCACATTAATTTGCAAAACAGATTAACCTAAATCAGATTATTACTATAATCATTGTAAGTTAATCTTAAATCTTGAATGGCTTTTTTCCCTTTCAACATCATTAATCACAAGATCCATAAGCGTAATGCATTGTGCCCACATGATAATAAATGTGTCTATTCGAAGCTCATTGTTATTCACTTGTAGCGAAGGACATATTTTTCAACATAGTTGTTTAACATAACGTAACAAAAGAATGCTTCGCTATTAGCTGCAGAGCGGAAACAACATATTTTAATAAAAATTCGTGTACAAAAAACGAAAAGCAGTAAAGCGCGAGCTGTACACATCTAGTGATCAAAGTAAATAATTTGATCCAATCTAATAACATTTGTTGGTAATTCGTGTGTTTTTGAAGTTCAAGAACAAGATAACTATTTAAAAATAAATGTTGTTTTTTTTATCAAGCGTAGGTATGTACTTTATAAATATTTATTGATCGATTCCAAATTAAGTTGCAAGACTAACGATGCTGTCTTTACGGACAATACGAAATAGACAAACATTTTGTTTTTAAATTGATTCGACAAAAGAGTTTGTAATTGGCAGCTTTGTTATTTGAATTCGTTTCTTTTTTGTAGAGGTTTGTAATGAACGCCGCTAGTACACCGACGCATTTGCATACCAATACAAACATGTGAATTTTGTTTCTGAAAAGGTGACAAAATTGATCGCATAATTTCGCTGTTGTTTCGCATTCGCGTGCGATTACGCCTGTGTACTAACGGCATAAAGGAGATGGACATTTCAAAATTGGCATACACGTTTTTTCATATGTGAAAAGTCAGTTTAAACCAGTGAGTGATCTAAGTATCCTATTTAATCGTGGGTGAATAACATACTGAAAACCAACCAAAAATAAAATACTGAAAACCAGTATTTAGGAAAACATTTAGTTGTGGGTTGTTGGTATAGCATATAAAAAAAACTTTTTATAAGGTTTCGAATGTAGACTTTCAAATTTATGGCCTTAATATTTTTTTAATGTATGTAATACTCTTCAAGATAGATTATGATCCATATTAAATGCATACTTTAAAAGATTTATTAGAATTTTTATCCGCATCGAAACTAATTTGAAGTCCAAAAATTAACGGACATCAAGAAAAATTTAACTGAGGTATGATTAACTTCTAAGCCATGAATCTAGCCGGCGATATTTTGCTTCATTTTAGTATATTGACTGAATTCAAACTTTTTGAAAATCTCGGGAGTCAATAAATTTCATAATTCATTACTGCGGAATTCAACAACTGGCAAATAAGCCCGCGACTACACAATGGAACGGCTATTCCGACAATGTCTACTCCACCTCAAGGTGAATAAGGCATGGTCATTAATTAAACTGTCAAACGGTGCACGATAGAGTACGAAACGAATATTCGTTGAAGTATAGTAATGTTAGATAAATAACCTATTAAATTAAGCATAGATCGTGAATTCAATTAGAACTTTCAGTATTCTATTACATAGCTAAATGAATTAAGCTTGTTACCAAATGGATAGGTATAGGTAGATATTTAGCAATTACAACGCTTAGGTGGAAGAAACCAAATGTGTTTCCAATCATAAGAATCGCAATATTAAGGGTAGCTTTTAATTGAAGCTAATCGGAAGAATTATCCGCAAACAATGGAAGAGTAATGAGGCGCGAATCAGTCAACTCAATATCCTATTGTTAGTTGTCGTCATCTACTACCGTACTGGAATGGAGTCAAAAGTTAATTCGGCGGCGAGCAAGAGAGAATGAAGGCAAGATGACCTGGAAATATTCAGCCTGTAATTCTTGAATGCTGGAGAAAGCATATGACCAATACTGGACAAATAAATACTGGATAAGAGACGCAGAAGAAGAGACACTACCCAACAGTTACTATCATTGATCTCAATTCTCTTGATAGGTCTGGCTATTTCGTATCTCTGGACAGGTAATAATATTTGCTGTTCTTTAACTGCAAACGCTGCACTCCGTATAGATAGATACCCGGTTATACCTGAATTTTGCTGCCCCTTATTTTTGTCGCTCATAGCGATTGCTCGGCTTGTTTTTCCTTACTCGATATTTACTTTAGTTTTATCCTCAGTTGTTTGCTCAACAACATATCAATACCAAAATTATATTATTGCCCTATCTAAAACAGCTAAATTAAATCAAGGCCCTTCTATAGGTCAGCTCGTATTGCTCTAGGGTACCTTCATTTATCAATGAATTTATCCATAAATTAGTGGAATATAGTATGAAGTTCACATTTAAAAAATGCGTTATGAATGGTACATTAATCAAACTTCAGGCAAGGACTGCCAGGTCATGGCAGGGTTATTGCCTTACCACGTCCTATATGTCCTCGTTTCGTAACCGAATCATGATGTATATTTTATAAACAAGAAACACATGATGTTTATTTAGTTTGGTAAAGTTTTCTTACAATATATACCTTTTGGTCGATTGTGGTTTAATATTACTATTATGATACGCAAATAAAAAACTAAATAAAATTGTGCATTTCCGCCTTTGAACTTTAATTAGGTAGTTAAAATGAAATTATTTACTTCTACAACTGTATTGTATATCTAAAGAGGATGAATTCATAAACTACCCATAGCAATTTCATGTGAAATATTTTCATGCAATGCACATTATCAATGAATATAGTAACTCATGGGAAAGGCCTTTGTGTATAATTTATTGGTGTTTTATTAAAGATTTTGTTGAAGTTGAATTATAAATATGGAAGAGGTTCACTAACGTTTCAACAAAATAGAACGTATTTACCCGACTACGGCTAAGCGAAAAGGAGGAATATGATTTTAGCCCGTATGTATCAGAGGACGAAATTGTGGCTTCGTAACATCAAGGAACGGACGGAGATTACGAATGCAGCCCAGTTGTTTCACCTTGCCAAAGACTGAGAGGAGTTTGCTAAATTTATAGCAAACCTTCGCTCGTCGGAGAGGCACTATAAGACTAAGTATTACATGTAACTAAGCAAAGTGTCATATAAGTAGCAAAAGTAACCTCAAATTATAATATAAAGTGCATGAAATTTTTCTAATGAAATAGTATCTTCATTCTTATCAAAACATGCTTATGAAAATTCGCAATAATAAAACAACAGACAAGCGGGTTCAAGTTATTTTCGCATTAGTATAAACCAGTTACAATTGTCTCCATACAAAACTAATCAAATGTCATTTTCCCACATGACACTTGAATAATATCGAGTGATCCATCTAACTATTACAACTGCGATATTAATACCGATTTAAGCTTACAATATTGATGAATTGATTTCTATAAGATCATTTATCAACAGTACAAGCTCTGAGTGCTGCGCGGAATAACAAAGTAGTGATATAATATGTTATTGTTGAATTATGACATCAAAACAAAATAGCTTTTGTAAACGGCCATACTGATGTACAGT